TAAAAAAAAAAAAAAAATAGATTCTGGTTATTATTGACTCAAATGAATAAGAAATGCAAAAAAATAATTTTTCCAAAGCTTTTTTCTTGGTGGGGTTGTTAAAGGGTTGAATTTATTTTAATTTCGGATCCTCGATGAAGTCCACAGCATTAGACTTGATAAGAAACAAAATGAATGTAATAGAACCACAGCATTGATCCCAGAGGTATGGAAGCATATTGCTGTCACGTCAGATCAGTATAACACTATAACATGGGAAGTTTACTGTTATCATATCATCAGGTCTTTGGTAGAGGTAAACTTCCCATTATGTTCACTGTGGCTGACTCAAAACACTGTGGTAAAGTTGACAAGATGTCCAGAGATCCTGACTTTTTGGATCAATAACTAAGAAATGAAATATTGTTAAAACACAAGCAAAGCCTGCCTGAACCAGAATTAGGTATCCAACCAGCTATAGCTTTATTTTCCATCAAAACAAGTTTAATTCTGTGAGGAGGAAAACCAATACAGTAGTGTGAGATGAGTGCAACGCCAAAAACACACACTGCAAAAATATTCAATCACTCCTGTGCAGTGTAGGGTTACTAAAATCAATAGACATACATGGTCTCTTCCTGGTTATATCAATTGGTATGTGTATTGCTGTCACTCCAGAAAAACAAAATATGAGAAATATCTCTTTATAACATAAAACTTCTCATGTTATAAGGTGATAATGATCGTTGTTTCTTTTTCTGGTGTGACATCAGTACTCTTCCATTCAGAAGCCTAAATCATTTAAAATAAAATGGTCTTCTACCTGAAATTTGTAAAAGTGATAGTCATTCTCTGCTCATGAAGAAGAGTGTAAAACTACAACCTTCACTCAAGCAAAAACATGTGTCTCATGATAGTTATCCATATCAACTGAACAATTTTATTGAATAAACATTTTCTGCCACATCACCCAGTAAGTTTTGCAGAAATAAGAATGACTTTTGAAAACAAGCATATATATCTTTTTGTGGTAGAGACTTACTTTCTGGATTTTAGCTCCTGTCAAAATAAGCAATCTGCTGGTTTCCTAGTGGAATCTTTGCATCAGGTTTTACAGTAATTTAAGTTTTGAGTTGCATACCACAAAGCTTTTCCATTTTAGGAATATGTCAAAAATACGATCTATTTGAACTCCTGAAGACGTTGAGACCACTCCACGTGCCTTCATCTGATCACATCTGGATGCGATATACAGTAGAGCTTTTCCCTCCTATACTTTGATTGAAATATCTTTCAACGGTCATAACTTTTATAACTATTCTCTTTAATTTTGAGGATTTTATGACTCTGATTTGGAAAAAGTGCTCCATAAAAAAGATGATAATTATATTATAATAATCAAAACAATTCCAATAGGGTCCTCGCACTGTCGGTGCTCGGGCCCTAATAATGATTACAAAAATATGTTCCTTTCAATCAAGACAGCTGTTGTTGAGTAGCACAGTTGAACATTAACTCGTAGCTTCTGTTTTTTGGTTTTTTTTTACACTCATTATCTTCTCATCTTTTCAGGAACCCCTGCCTCTGTGATGGAGCATCAAACCATTCTCAAAACAATTCTTGAGGACAAATATCAGATACTATATGATGGAAGAATACTGCCTTCAAGACTTTGCTACCGGGATCTCAAACAGGACTACCAATTTTCTGATTTGGACCAGCAAGAGTTTCGATATGTTGAATATTCCTGCGCTCACCCTTACATAACTGTCCCGCTCACTGATATTTTATCATGTGACTGCAAACATAAAAGCAGCAAAAAAACCATCATCACTCTTGGAGTGTGTGGAGTTGGAAAATCCACAGCTGTGCAAAGCTGTGCTCTGGAATGGGCTGAGGGGACAGGGTACCAGGATATCCACCTCATCTTCCCTTTCACATTCTGCGAGTTAAATAAGGTGAAATGCAAATTGACTTTGATCTCACTTCTACAGTTACTTTTCCCAGGAGTGAAGGAGATTGACGCTTCCAGTCTAAATCGAAAGGACGTGTGGTTCGTCTTTGATGGACTGGATGAGTTTCATCGCCAGCTAAAATTTGACACTCCGCCAGTGAGGGATGTTTTTGAAGTAGCTACTGTGGATGTACTCATAACCAGCTTGATCAGGGGGACTTTGCTTCCCAATGCTCACATCTGGATAACAAGCGGGTATGCAGCAGCAGGACAAATCCCTGGTGACTACTTGCTTAAAGAGACTCAAGTACAAGGATTCAGTGATGTACAGAAGGTGGAGATGTTCCACCTACTTCTGGATAATATTGATCTGGCTAACAGAGCAATGGACCATGTGAAAATCTCCTGGAGTCTTGCCTCCCTTTGTCTGATACCTCCAATCTGCATCACCATGGCACTTGTTTTGCAGAGTCATGTACGTAATGAACAGAATGTATTTAAAATCAATCCTTTAAATCTGACCCAGATTTACTCAAATCTAATGAAAACATCAAACTCTGACATTATTGCCAAGCTGAAAAAGATGGCACTGCTTCGGTTGACAGAGCGAAACGTAATTTATGAGGAAGATCTTTTAAAGAGTGACATAAGTGCAAAGGAAGCGTCCGCTTTTGCCAAGAAATGTCCGCTTATGTTGAGAGAAGAGAAAGGGGTGTTTACCACAGTGTTCCGCTTCGGTCACTCAAGCATTCGGGATTTCTTCGCTGCATGTGCTAAAGTGGACGAAATTCAAGCATCATCTTTCCCGCCTACTTATTGTCAGACTATCTTGGACGAGGCATTGAAAAGTGATGCAGGGAAAATGGATGTCTTCCTACGTTTCATATTTGGTCTTCTTAAAGAGCGTCACATGTTTACGCCCGATCATCAGCTGCTTAAATACACCAAGAAGAAGATCCTTGAGAAAGTTATGACTTCGAGGGCAGTGGGTCTGCTCCATTGTCTGAGGGAATATGACCGCAAAGCTTTCGTGCATGAGATCAAGCTCTTCCTAAAGTATGGCTTGTCTCCAATTGAGGGTTTCGCACAATTGCATTGGCATTTCTTGATCCAAAGGACCACCGCTTATGATTGGAAGAGGCAGTTATTTGTGATGGATGTATCCATGAGAAGTGATGAATGTCTCCTCCTAGACCTACCAGCCCTCATGAAATCAACAAAAGTCATGTAAGTTTTTTTCAATTGGATTCAGCCATTTACATTCCACACATGCTTGTGCATCTACACATTGGTTTGCTTTCTGTTCCAGCAGAATACATTTGAAATTAGGTATTTTAATGTGTCGCCTCACCCATATCACAAAAATATAACTGCTTTACATACCCACTTTGGTAATCAGATGTATATTACCCAAGGAAATCAAATTTCCTTTAGTTTCTATCATCATTTCTACACAGTGAACCTCTGAAAATAAAGTTTAACTTTTCCTTCTCATTGTTTTACACTATATCCTCATTCATCGTACAAGTCTTGGAAGACACAGACTCAACTCAGCACATGAGAAAGACCGTTAATAAATCAATTTGCTGTTAAATAATTTGTGCTTTGTATTGTTAATTAATCGTAGTATGCTATAATTTCTTTTTCTTAATGCCTGTGGCACAAATATGTCAGTTGCATGGTAGGTCAATACATATAGCTTGTAGCTTCAAAACAGCTGGACTCTAGATTTTAGCAAATCAAATAAATTAAATGTATAGATCATTTAGAGTGATTGTTGACAGCATCAGCTCTGTGTGTGTGCAAGTAAGTGAAAATACAGTATTTAAGGAAACTGTTAGTTGGTGTAACAGTGTGGCTGATGGTGTGTTCATACAGTTTTTGGAAAATGAAGGAGATCAATTGGAATATTACCAGCCATCCTTCAACATGCGCACCATTTTCCCCTGTGTCAGTAACTCTCTTCTCCTCTCAGGCTGCGATTCTCTAACCTGACAGACAAGTGTTGTCCAGCTTTGGCAGCAGTTCTGAGCTCAACTGAGTCATTCGTGAAAGAGCTGGACCTAGGATACAACAACATCAGTGACAGTGGAGTGAAGACACTCGTGGAGGGGCTGAACAATCCAAAGTGCAGACTGAGATCGCTCAGTTTGCAAGGCTGTGAAGTGACCTCCCAAGGCAGTAAATACCTGGCCACCGCCCTGAGACAGTCCCAGAGACTGCGGCAGCTGGATCTCAGCAGGAATAACATAGGAGACGATGGACTACATAACCTTTCAAATGGTTTGAGATCTCCTGAATGCCAGCTATCAGTACTCAAGTAAGTATCATCAAATAAACTGAACTTTTTTTCTCAAAGGATTTTTAAAATCCTCATTTTTTTCAGTTTATTTGCACATAAACTGATGATTAAAATGACACAGATAAGAGCATTTTCTGGGATGAAAGAAATCGTAGAATCAGCTACAAAGCAAACTTACTCTGTGGGTTACAGACAGTTTCCTCATTGCTCTAAATATTTCTGTTGGGTTGTCTTTGTCCTTGTAGACTATCACAGTGCAACATTGAGCAGAGGGGCTGCTCCTATCTGGCCTCAGCTCTGGAGAAGAACCCCGACCAACTGACAGTGTTAGATCTAAGCATCAATATGATCGGAGACAAGGGGGCCAATGAGATCTTTAAAAAGTTTGATATTTCACAGCTGACAAAGCTGGAGTGAGTATGACTTAATATACAGCCTGCAGCAACGTTGGATGCATTTCAGGGTTACTGTATAACATTTTGCATCTGCTCACATCTCTGCGACAGGATGTACCACTGTGGCCTCACCGCGTCAAGCTGCAAAGGCATCGGGGAAGCTCTGAGGAGTGAAGGAAGCACCCTGGTGGAACTCAACCTGAGCAACAACAACTTGGAAGATGACGGGTTTACGCTCCTCTGCTTTGGCAAGCATGCATGGTGTTGTTTGGAAAAACTCAAGTGAGGAAGCCTCAGTCTCTCTTTTTTTCACTTTAACTGCTTTCAGGCATTGAACTCTGGAAATCTCCTGAAATTATATGGAGGGTCTGTATGTGAGAATGCAAATGTCAGGGTCAATTGCGAGAGACATTCTCCAGAGTTTTTCCCTCAAACCTCCCTGTTAAGAACACAGTAGCAGATAGTCCAGAGAATTCACTGTGAGCGAGTGCATGGATGATGACGCGCAGCTGCAACACAGTAGAAATATCTGAGAATGAAAAAGAGGACACATATAAGACAGCAAAGAAGATCTCAGCTTGGAAAGATGAGATTCGTGGGCTTTTGGTGATGCGGGCTGACACTGGTGTGATGTGCTATAAACAAATCACATGATCTCTGCAGTGAAATTCATAGGTAAAGTGCTGCCTGTTGCATGCTGCGCCACCCCTCTCCTGAATGCGCTGTAAACTTCAGCAGAGAGCCTCCTACTACGTTGTTCATGTGTGAAAGGCAAACTGTGGAGAAAGTCCGGATCTCGTTGTCTAAAGAGGCTTAAATGAAATTAAAATACTTCTTTTCTTTTTCACAGCTTCAAGTTTTTATGAGATAATGACTTTTTCTTCAGCATCCAACTAAAATGCTCACATATCAATCACTTAATTTGCTCAAACCATTAGCCAATGACATTCTCTTTATTTCCCCTCAGCGTCTCAAGATGTGGAATCACTGCACTCAGTTGTAGCGCTTTGTCTTATATGCTTTGTACACTGCCACGGTACTTCTTTGAAACGACGCCCCCAATTCTGTTCCACCCAATCCACCTGATGGACCTCAACCTCAGCATGAACAACGTCGGAGATGAAGGAATCAAATATTTTTTGGATGGACTGAAGAATCCCTACAGCCACCTGAAAATTCTCAAGTGAATCATTTTTTAATCAAAATTCATGACAATACATTTGTAGTGTTGTTTTGAGAACAGTTTGTCGTAACGTTGCTTTTTTTTTGTTTCACGTCAGCCTCAGCCGCTGCAGCCTCACTCAAGACTGCTGCGCTGAGCTTGCATCAACATTTTCATCAAAGGATAGCTGCATGACTGATCTGGATCTGTCTGAAAATGACCTGCAGGACAAGGGAGTAAGGAAACTCTGCGTGGGACTCAGAAACCCTCAGTGTAAACTTGAGAAGCTGTCGTAAGTTCTTTATTTACTTTTTTCACTTGTCAAAGAAGTTACTCCCCCAAAATATAAATGTATTCTTTTCAGTTAAAACGTGTGATGAGTTTTACTCCAAGGAACTAGCAGTTACTATATTTGTAATACTTCAAAGAGATTGTGCAGCATCGTCTTTGTTGCACATTGCAAGTATCCGTCAAATATTCATCCATTATCAATGCTGTTCATCCACCAAGCGTTGCCAATCTCAGCTGACACTGGGCGAGAGGCATATTACACCCTGGAGAGGTCAGTCCAAAAACTAGAAGTGTAATCAATATTTATGTGATACATTTTATATCAAAATCAATTCAAATAGTATGAGTAGTATGAATAGTACAGAAATATATATATATGTCTGTGTTAAAGTTGCTGATATATGACAATATAAAAACTTTTATTTTACAAAATGAACAATGAAGACAAGATGTGCATTTCTTTTTCAGAATTTGGTTTATTATATGTATATTTTCTTGACTCAACCTCTATATATTCGGTTGTAATTGATTTTTATTTGCATTCTGTTGTCAAAATATGAACAGTCACTCTCCCTATGTTTTATTGACTAGTGATAGCAAACATCACCACAATGTGGCCTCACTCAGAATCTCGATGCATACAGTGTGAGGACATGTACAGTTTGTGTATTTTGTAGACACTGATTTTGTTGCTCTGTGTTTAGGTTTAGGGGATATAGTTGTTATAGGCCTTAAACTGAGCTTCTCCCTGTTTTTAATCAAGTATATCCTGTCCACATTGACAAAACTTAATTTCATATGTTACCTTGTCTTATCTGTATTATCTATCGGCAACATGGTGGGTTTGAAGAGGTTAAAAAAATGGAAGATAACCTAGTTCATTTATTGGACTGTGAACTTGTAACGTTTAAGTAAGCTGGTGTCAAGAAAAATCTCCTGGACTTGTTTTGTTTCTCTCCAGACTGCGGACCTGTGGCCTGACCTCGAAGAGCATTCAGTACCTGATGAGTGCCCTGAGGTCCAATCCCAAATATCTGGCAGAGCTACATCTGATGGGCAACAGGCTGGAGGACCCGGAAATCAGAGCGCTCCTGGACCTAACAAAGAACCAAACATACGAACTGCAAACAACAGAGTAAGTCCAGATATCTATGGATAATGGTTTTTCAATATCTCAGCAGGTATAAATAATATATCACATCAAACAGAAACTAAAATGTTACTTTTCTTTCTTTCTTTTCAGTTTGTCACAAGATTGAGTAAAGCAGAGTTACGGGCTCAAAATCATAAGTCACAATCAGCTGCCACCACGATCTAGAATCATCCACAAATTCTTACTGAACAAGTGTTTTCTGTGCCGGACACGATGAGGCTGCATAAAACAGACAAAGGGAAATGAATGTATGAATGATGTTGTCATTAATCTACTCTTGTGCCTGTACATATTCATTATTTTTTACCATAGGCTGTTGTTTGTTATGACGCAGACCTACAATTCACATGTTTTCTCAGTCACCAAATAAATAGTTTCTGTTCAGTGCTGTGTGGAGCTGGTTCATTCCTGTGTTGTAGCAGGACCCCGCCTAGTGGCCAGTTCTCGCAGTTTCAGTCAGTGACGCGTTTGACGCTGGAGGTCCCTGCGCTGCATCTGAGTCCGTCCTGCACAACCGGCAGCGTCTCCTGTGTCCTCACCGCAGAGCAGCAGTGAACGCACCTCAGAGGACAAGGTAGGTTACAGGATGTATTCAGGTGCAACCCCAAAAAAAACCACACAGCCTTCACCTCCACATCCTCTGACAGACGCTTTGCAAGCAGCAGCTGTCCTCGGGGACGTTTCTGTCAGGTGTTGCGTCTGTATGTGCGGGACACTGAGAGAAGGAGTTGGATGCTGCGTGCTTCCGCTGTTATGCAGATATGATGGCATGTAAAGTGCAGCGGGGTGTGGGGTTGGCACCACCGCGGGCTGCTCGGCAGACTGGGCCTGTGTGGCGCAGTTTCAGCGGGGAGATAACTCATGTGACAGTTCATCGTCATCCTGCTGCCACAGTCTCATCACCGCTGTGTGTGCACGCTGCTGACACATGGAGAGACAAGTGCGCGTCTCTCCGTTACCGCAGTGTCCCACACGACACGCTCTCTCTGCCGCGGATCGAAACTGCACCAGGTTTCTGGATGGAAGCAGTCGATCGTTTTGAAAAGTCCCGACACCAGCAGGTATCCGGGCTGTCGCACTGTGACGTTGTTGTGTTGGTTGCCATTGAAAACACTCAACAAGAAATAGTTGAATATCTTTAACAGTCAATGATCTGAACCACACAAATGATCAAAATGAGATGATTGTTATTATTAATCATCTCAGAATGGTTTCCCCCCTGTTAGTATGGTTTGTAGGTTGTCCTTATTTATGAAAACGGGAAACACAAAGAACATTTGTTTGATTGAACTCAAAGTTCACGCGCAGGTTGAAACCGTGCAGACCGGTGTTGCGTTGTGCGTGCTCGGAGAGAAGTGCATACACTAGCGGGAGCGCGCACTCCTACAGCGGAAAGACGCCATCAGACTTCAAGCGATGCGCTGCATTGATAATTAAGAAGGATTGTATAATGTGGGTTGTTAGCGATGAGAAGTGATCCGATGCCTATTGTTCATGAATGTTTAGCTGCAGTTGTCTCCCTGGCTGAAAACAGGGGGGGGGGGGGCATTTCGCAGCAAATCCCAAATCTTGCCAAATAATGCCCCCCCCCTCCCATGCAGGTCCTTTTTCTGACACTCTGTGGTCAAACACTGACACCAGCTGACATATGTGACTGTTTCGACTTTACATTGAGAACACTCATCTGGTCTGAGCAGATGGGGGGATGCAAATGTTGGCAGGCTAATAATCAGCTTTGCAGAGAAATGTATCCCCCTCGTGAGTTAGCAACTAATATTTTGGACTGTTTTGACTTGTTGTTGATAATTTCGTACTTCTAACACTCATCTAGTCTGAGAAGAGAAGTGGATGCAAATCTCAGCAATTAATCATATACAAACTGCCAAACAACGCATTCACAATGCAACTTTATTTCTCGAGACCTATAAACCAAATTGCATTTTTAGATGTTTGACTCGACAGTCAGGTCAATAATACTGAATTGCCTGGCATGCATTACATGGCAGTAGTTCTGCAGATCGACTCACACATTCAACACTACAAAACAACCCTTAAAATCAAAGTGTTAATCGTTAAACCATTGTTTTAGCACATGCAGGCTTTATTTGATTGAGTTAGGCAGTTTAGGATTTTTCCATATTTTTTCAGAAATATTGACTTAACATTCATGAACAATAGACATCGGATCATTTATCATCATTATTTAACACCAACAAAGGAGATTATATAGTTTTTAAAGAGTACATCGCCACAGAGATGATTACATCTGGTAGTGTCTCTCCTCTGTAGCAAGGTAATGCAGCCACACAGGCTAACTAGCTAACCAGCCAAGTCACTGGAGACAGATGGAAAGGAGCCGGTTAGACTCTGTAGCCCTTTACTATTTTTTGTATTCACTCTTTGCATCAAATATTATAATTTTAAATATTGTATTTTAATAAAATGCTCAATGAAAACGATTATGACAAGAAAGTTGCAAATGATGTGAAGGTACCTCACCCTCCCCTTCCAAACTGTTTAAAGGTTCAGTGTGTAGAATTTAGTGACATCTAGTGATGAAGTTGCATGTTGCAGCTGAATACCCCTCACCGGTTAAAACGGTGTGAATCATGTTGGGGCCTCCCCAGTCACGAGATCTCAACATGTTTTAACCATCTATCTTTTTCTTCTTCTATCTATTTTAGACTGACATGTTAGATGTTGCTCCCCATCACCAACACTAAACACCGCATGAGGAAATGTGTGTGAGTTTCACAGTCTTGTAATGCCAAGGTGCATTGATGCTGTTATAGCAGCTCATGATGGCTCAACTCTTGATGTTTGTTTTTCCTTTAACTTGTCCCCATCTATTTCTCAATGTTAAGGCAGTGGTGTTATTCTGAGTTGATCAGAGCCAAGTTTATATGTAAAAAGATGCTTTTCTCTTGCAGCTGCTTGTATATTTAGGTCATCAGCTTGTGTCCTTACAGTTAAACTAGAGCAGATACAATTCCTCTACCTACTGTACATCGTGTAGGTTGAACATGATTTGGGGTTTTGAACAATACACATCTTCTCTGCTCAGGTTAATAACAGAGCCACTATTGAGTAATGTAACACAAGTTACCCGTTCTGTACACACATCATGGTTGTTAACTCTCTGTACTCTGGCAGCAGTAGCTTTAACCTTCACTGCGGGTTAGATAAATACACTATCATGTTTTATGGACACAAACGTAAGTGCAATCCTGATGTTGTTCTGCACTGCTCTGTTTTTTTTTTCAGTTGTCTAATCTAATGAATGCTGTTATACTTGTTTGCTTGAATCTCACAGTATCTTCCAGACTGAGCTGTTATGGGGAAGGAGAAGCTCCACATAAACATTGTGGTAATAGGACATGTTGACTCCGGCAAGTCCACCACCACCGGCCACCTCATCTACAAGTGTGGGGGCATTGACAAGAGAACCATCGAGAAGTTTGAGAAGGAAGCTGCTGAGGTACAACTCATATTGTTTTTACTATAATTTAATACATCTTTTAAGGAATTTATACAGTGTAATTACACTCTGCTGCAGTGGGGTTTTAATTCAGTAGAAGTATTTAATTAGTTTTTTTGTCGAAGTAATCATGTTTATTTGTGTGTTTTCCTGTTAAATCTTTGTCCTGTTATTTTACAATTATGCCTCTATGTAACAAATTTGTAAGCACTTAGATCAAAAATTATTTTTTAATAGATATCTTTTTTCAAAACCATGGTTGCAAATTAGCAACTTTCTGTCAATTTTGAGCCATGGGAGCTTTTGAGTTTGAACGACTTGGACAGTTTGGGATGATTTATTAGAATTTGCAGTAGATAATATTTAATCATTAATTATAATTTTTAATGTGTAGGTACTAGGTATAATAATTTAGAACTTATCAAATATCAAGACTGGAAAGTCATTTCCTAATAATTACCTGAATCTTTCACGTTTTTTATATGGTCACTATGACGTATATACTGTATATTGCATCATTCATATTTTTATTTTGGAAGTGCTGAGTATCTATGTCCAAGTTTATATAGATTTTGATTGCATTGCATGGTAACATTTTTAGCTGTATCAGAACTATATGGAGCTTTGGACAAAAATATCTTACAAAGATAAAATTATATAAAGGAAATGTTCCTTGTGCTTTCCTCTCCTCATCCTCTAGATGGGAAAGGGTTCCTTCAAATATGCCTGGGTCCTGGACAAGCTGAAGGCAGAGCGTGAGCGCGGCATCACCATTGATATCTCTCTTTGGAAGTTTGAGACCAGCAAGTACTATGTCACCATCATCGACGCTCCAGGACACAGGGACTTCATCAAGAACATGATCACAGGGACTTCTCAGGTAGATGAGAGTAGGGAATTAGAAAATGCTTGAAAGGGGAAAAAAGTCAGAGTGGTTGAATTGTATTTCTCTCCTTCAGGCCGACTGCGCAGTCCTGATTGTGGCTGCAGGCGTGGGCGAGTTTGAAGCTGGCATCTCTAAGAACGGGCAGACTCGTGAACACGCCCTCCTTGCATACACCCTGGGAGTGAAGCAGCTCATTGTGGGCATCAATAAAATGGATTCCACTGAGCCCAACTACAGCCAGAAGCGCTACGAGGAGATTGTGAAGGAAGTCAGCACTTACATCAAGAAGATCGGCTATAACCCTGACACTGTGGCCTTTGTGCCCATCTCTGGTTGGAATGGAGACAACATGCTGGAACCCAGCCCTAATGTGAGTCTGCTGTGAGAGCCAGAAAACCTGATATACCTCGGCTATAGTATTTTGAATGTATAGAAACAAATCATCAGATTTACATAAAATAAGGATGTTGAAAGTTCTATAATTTGTGACTTCAAAACATTAGTGATAATATCAGCTTCCATTATAAGGTTCAATACATATAACATCTGTTCAACAATCTAATGAATAAAAGTAAGGTCTTGCATATGCTAAATCACTTCTGTATCATAAACAACAGCTTCTCTCCTTTCATAGATGACCTGGTTCAAGGGCTGGAAGATCAACCGTAAGGACGGTAATGCCTCAGGCACCACGCTGCTGGAGGCTCTGGATGCCATCCAGCCTCCCTCGCGCCCCACCGACAAGCCCCTCCGCCTGCCTCTGCAGGACGTCTACAAAATTGGAGGTGAGGCCAGTGTTGTTGTTGATCTCTGTAAAGGTGATGTTTGATGATACAAATGTAAAAGATTCAAGTGAAAGAGTATTTTGTGAATGGGAGCACCTTGTGACAACAGGAACAGAACTGAATGAGGTCATATACGAATTCCCACTGGCTTATGTCCAAAAATGAGTGTCTGTCCCTATTCTTTTTTTTAAAAACTTTTTTTAGTCTTGTAGAACTGTTTAACAGAAAGTTCTCAGTACAGAGTACAGACCTTTCCAAAGTTTCTTAAATTAGTTCCTCTCTGTCAGGCATTGGTACTGTGCCAGTGGGACGAGTGGAGACTGGAATCCTAAAATCTGGCATGGTGGTGACCTTTGCCCCCGTCAACCTGACCACTGAGGTAAAGTCTGTGGAGATGCACCACGAGGCTCTGACTGAGGCGCTACCTGGCGACAATGTGGGCTTCAACGTCAAGAACGTGTCTGTGAAGGATATTCGCCGTGGGAATGTAGCTGGAGACAGTCGAAACGACCCGCCACAGGAGGCGGCCAGCTTCACCTCTCAGGTCCGCATCCAGGGATACTGTATTATGCATGTTTATGGCTGTGTGATTCTGTGATGTGACCTTACTCTTCTCTGCCCTTTTCAAGGTGATTATCCTAAACCACCCCGGTCAGATCAGTGCTGGCTACGCCCCTGTGCTGGACTGCCACACTGCACACATCGCATGCAAGTTCGCTGAGCTCAAGGAAAAGATTGACCGTCGCTCGGGTAAGAAGCTCGAGGACAACCCCAAGGCCCTGAAGTCTGGAGATGCTGCCATTGTGGATATGATCCCCGGCAAGCCCATGTGTGTGGAGAGCTTCTCTGAGTACCCACCACTGGGTAAGTTTACTGTCCCGCAACAAGTTCTTGTTTGTGGGTGAAGCTGTAACTCTGGTATCATTCATTACTGAAGATGATGTGAATAAAAATCTAAATCAAATGTTGAACTGTGTTAACCTCTGTACGGATTGGAAATGTATATTTAACTTTTTTTTTTGATTGATCCCCCTTCAGGGAGGTTTGCCGTTCGTGACATGCGTCAGACGGTGGCGGTGGGAGTGATCAAGGGCGTGGAAAAGAAAGCCCCCACCAGTGGTAAGATCACCAAGTCAGCACAGAAGGCGCAGAAGGTCAAATGAACGTTGTGCTGGGCTGCTGCCCCGAACGCTCACCGTGGCAGAAGACACACTAGCACCCCATCCCTTCTGCACACCATAGTCAGTGTCTGGTCTATTATCACAATGCATCGCAAGAGCAGACGAAGGAAAAAAAACAACCTCCCACACTGTTACTGAATAACACGTTGAAAAAACGGTTAAATGTAGGTTTCATTGTCACGCAGTTTGTGACAGAACAACTATTTGTGTTACAGCTTTCTGGTTGTGTGCTGTTGTAACTTAGCTGTTTCGCACCAGTAATCAGGTGCTGATGTTGTTTTGCCATGTCCATGTTGAAGTACTGCTGAAATGTGCATATTTGCCGGTGAGCCAGAGGTAGATCAAACACTTGCATGTTTCTGTTCCTGTACCTTAGAGAAACTGTCTGATGCCTGAAACCGTCATGCCTTGCACATCGCTTGACTTAAGCTCCCTTGCAGTAGCTCTGTTACAGTTACTGTTAAGTTCATGCACTTTAATCACCGTTGATGTTCATAAAAGTAAAGATGTTTAAACAGTACGTCTTTGTTCCTTGCATCATTACTAGCGAAAAAGCATCAAACAATACTTTCGATAGCATTGAAAAGCATTGAGGCAGATCTATGATGATTTTCAACTCCAGTTGGCATGTCAGCATCCGGTGAGCGACCTGTCGCCATAGAGATGACATTTAAGCATCATTCACTATAGCATGGACCACGCCACAACGATGAGTCGTTAAATCTTTTGATGGAAATTCAGGCTGTGTTGAATAATGCGGATGGAGGAATGGATGTAAAAGGCAGTGATGAAGATTGATGAAGAATGTGTCCGTTAGGCTGGTCTGGGAGGATATGCTGTGGACTGGGCAGACGAAGACTCAGTGTGGGGGTTCATTTATGGTGCATTTCGGTAGGGGGATGAAAGCCAATGAATCTGTGATGTGATGCCGATATGCTCAGAATATTTCCTTCAAGCTAACAACTGAAACATTAGTAGATATCAATAATATGAATTATTGTTACTGTTATACCCCATAGCATGAATAACTGACTCATAACTTGTTTCGTAGGAGGTAGCCATTGCTGCTGTGAAGAAAGCAGGTGGAAGCCGCGGTAACGTTGCATGTACTAACCCATAACTTATCACTTATAATATGAACTGTTCTGTGACTGCAGCGACGTGCTGGTACCAACAGACGCACTGACTCTCCTGCAACAAACTCACTAGACTGCATCACGTACGCATCTTGGAGGGAGGGCGTTCAGGGAGGTCAGTAACAGTTCTTATACTGTGTTGTAAAAATACTGTTTTCTGCAAGCAAAGGTAAAAGTACTCAATAAGGCAGAAAGATTCCCTCCTGACAGTTATACTATTATTTCATTAGATTATTAGTTAGTGCATTAAACTGTTGCTTGAGGTAAATATTTTGTATAGGATTGCAGCCACTGATTATTTTCATTATGGATTAACATTCTGACTGTTACATCTGCTAAAGTCAGTGACACTGTCACATCATTTTGTTCAACCAATAGTGCAAAGTATTACTATCCATTTTCTCTTCTGTCTTCTTTGTATGATTATTCCGTGTGTTAATTAATACAATATGTACTCCGTCAAAGAAAAGAATAACATGAACAATAGTGCTCAACATCACCTTCTTGTTGGTGTCGTGACAACCTAAGAAGAACCAGTTTCACTGAGTGACAAAGAGAATTCGCAAAACAGACCTGTCATAGAATTTCCTTTATTAATGAATGAGAATAAAAGTCAACTTGCATTTTTATAACATGACAGGCTTCATTAATCTAACTGAGATTATTACTTGTGTGTAAATATGTGCACATAATTTAAATAAATAAAAAAACAGAGAGAATGTTAACATGTCAAAGGCCTGTTTTGTGCCCAGTAGCAAAATGGTCTCTGAATAAAAAACTGTATAATGCCTCAAGTTAGAACATTTACAAGGAGACAAAATGAAAACAGTACAACCATTTCTGTTCAGAGAAATTTCAGTTCAGTACCTAATGCACTTTGCAGGAAACTGTATGGAGATGAAAATGTACAACAAAAGCAAGGCACCATTATACTGTATGCAATGCAGGTTTTCTAGAATTGTGAACTGGGATCTTTTATTTTACTTTCACTGCAAATCATTTTGAACCATAAATAGTTATTTGTTTAAATGGTGTGGCATTCACTCTCAGTTATAAATAGGTTTGGATATGACAACCTCCATGCAAAGAATATTTAAATATCTTAAAGAAAGTAAAATCTTAATATCACTTAAAAGCAGCCTGACTCCCAGCCTCCCTCACATATCCTCGTCTGATTCTTCAGAATACACTGAGGTACTGCTAGATAAGTGTGATTATTCACCACTGAGGCTTTGTGGGTAATATTTACGCACATGTTGTGGTGCTGCAACCTGGAGGAAAAAACACTGATCCTTACCTGATGTACCTGATTCTGTACCATGCAGCAGGAGGAGGAAGTTGGTCTTTAGTTATCTTGGTGTAATAATGAAATAAGCCATTCATTCTGCAGTGATTGCATTTCAAGGAAGCTAAAATAATTATACTTTATGAAAAAAAGCAAATATTGACCATGACTTCAATATTTTCATTTCATTTAAAAACGGGTGGCAAAAATCTAATAATTCAACGTAATTCGATTTGACATAATTCAAAGTTAGATTTCTGTCAGTGTCTGATTCTGAAGTACTTTGCTAAGACACTCCTGTGCTGACAAAATAACACAAACTGAATTTTTATACTAAATGACATTCAAGGTGTGTTTCAATCCATGGCTGTCGTCAGCTGGAAAACCAGCCGATCGGTGCATAATTGATCGGAACGTGAGCAACAGCTGCTCCATGTTCCTCTCTGGACTCTGGATTCAACACAGCATAATGGACATGTAACATCACAGCTGGCTGAGTGTGTTATCGGCATGTCTCTTCTGAACACGTCCACGTGTACAGTGGGGATATGTGGTTTCAACATGATGCATCTCATGCTAGAGATGAGTGTTGGCAGAAGTGGCTTTGATAAGTAACCAAGTATCTTGGCAGTTGTTCCTGCTCTACACCTCAGTAGCAGGTAGTTGTTAAAGTTATCAAACTAGCACACTCGCCAAATCTAAGTTCAAGGGGGGAAATATTTACAAAACCCAATCCTGTAGTTTTGCATGATTTATCTTATTAACCAAAAATCCCTTGGACACAAGCAGTTTCAGAAATGTCCAGTATTGTTGGCGATATGATATGTAAGCCTGTGATATTCTGTCTGACAGAATTTGAAAACATACTTGTTTCAAGTACTTTCTGTTGGTGACTTCATTGTTATGAGGTAACTTTCACAACTATTTGTGCTTGAACTGCAAAACTGCAATTAAATATAATACTAACAAAAATGACCTTCACTATCTTATTACACAAGTCAAGTACATTTCAGGAGTCAGTTAATTAATAACCTCCAATGAGGAGGTTATGTCAGCAGGCTTATGCAAAAACTACTGAACAGATTTCCATGAAACTTGGGGAAAGGACAGGACATGGGCAAAGGAAGAACCCATTAATATTACTACATTATTATCGGGGATTTTATTTTCTCATTTTCTTTCTTTTGACATTTTCAACAATTCCCAAACTAATAATTCATGGGTCTTGATAAAAAACAGACATATCTAGAGGACTATTTACAGTATGCTATGCTGTTTGTCAGTGTCAGCAATTTGGTGCGTCTTGATTGATTTTAAGGGGTCTTTTGGGCCGAGGCAATGTATGCCCTCCACTGAGTGCCTTTCTAGTTTACTATATGAAAATGAATGAAATCCATAGATGCCTGAGACCGCAGAAAAAATACATAAAAAAATTGAACCTTGTATATTTGAGTATTATTGGTGGTGGTTTAGGAGCTAAATCTTGCATATACACCATTTTGTGGTGTGTGACTTCTTAAAAGATAATAGGCAACCACTGTCATTGGTTCAGGATAGTAGTTACATTTATTATCAAAGCATATAAACTTGGGGAGATCAGGTTTTCAAAATAAAATAATGAGAAGAAAGGAGAATTAAATGTTCAGCAATGGTGAGATAACATTCATTTCAGCCTGTCATGTGATTGGAGAGACATCTTGTGCACAGAGCTGAAGTCACAGCTCTCCTCTGTTCCACTAGCTTCCATAACTGTAACATCTTTCCATCTCTTTGTGAAAAGTAAAATTGAGTTGTGGGATTTTCCTTCAAATGACTAGAGTTTATGGGAAATGGTGTTTGTTCAAAGTCACTAAAGAGATTACTATAGAATAATTAATGTTAATACATTGTTTTCAACACATCAGGCAAGTCACATGACATACAGTTCAAAATGGCTCTGTTCCAAGGCTGGATTTTTAGTTATCATCGATGGTAGAAGCGTCACTGGGATTTTGAGTGAGGTTCATTTACTTCTAGAACAGAACTCAGACGTTTCAGTTTACTTTGGCCCTCTGTAATAGGGCTTTGAATTATTAAGGCCCATTTTCTTTCCATTGCTTACGACAGATGTGTGGTATTTTTCAATGGAATCTTCCATGTGCTAGGTGTCCATGTTCTTCATGCTTTGTCTCAAGGTCACATAACCAACTGTCACACAGGGTAGAGTTTAGTCGACTTCATCGAATAGTGTCAGGATTTTTTGGGTCTGTGGTCCCCTCTAAAGACGCCTTCATCTTTACCTCAGATTTCAATCATACTTGAAAACAAAGAGTAACTCATGCAATGATATGCAATCAGCCTGTATGAAAATACTGCGATTCTTATCAAATGGATCAAAATGAAAATTAAAGAAAAGGACCCCTTTTTTTTAATCCCACCCTCCCTCTCCAGTCCAAAAGGATAAAAACCGTTTCAGTTGTGTGAGATTTGTGTGCCTTTCCTACTCATATCTATTTTAGCCGTACACGAGGCATGTTCGGCAGTTCGGTGCTGCCAGCGGAGGGTGAGGACACGTGACCGCTGGCCAGGCTATGGTTAGAGCCCAGGGTTCCTGCCCCTGCTCTGCTCCCTGTCCTCAGGAGCTCTGCGGAGTAGGAGTGGGCTTCAGTAGTCCCCTGTGACAGGAAGTCAAATTCCTGTGCCTCTATGTCCCTGTCACTGATAAAGAGGTCCTCCTCACCCCATCCAGCTCCACCACTCCTGCCCATACTACCACCACTCCCACCTCCTCCCCCAGGGTCTTGGCTACAGCTGTGGAAGCCAATGGGGGAGTCACTGCTTGTACTAGGGCTTGGGGATGACAGGCTGTGGCTATGGAGGGCATCCTGGACAGCCACGGGAGGTGCCTGAATCAGGTCCTGCACTGACATGGACTTGCCCAGTCCTCGGTCCATCTGACAGGGGCCAGAGCAGCAGCCCAGGGCTGGTGGAACCAGGGGCTCGAGCTCCAGGCTCATATGCCTCCTCCAGGAGCCCTCCTCCTTAGTGTTTAGCCTGCCATTGCTGTTGGTGCTGCCCTTGAGCTGCCCCAGTCTGCCCAGCCCGAACCCAAGGCCAAGGTTTTCCCTGACACTGCTGTGCTCCATCTTTGTCCCTAGACCTATACAAAAGCCCTCCATGTTGGGGGTTGTTTCAGTGGAGGTCGCTCGCACCAAGTTGTTCGGGCCACTGCTTCGGCTAGGAGGGAGCGGTGGTGGAAGCCTTGGCAGAAGAGGAAACCCTCCATCTCCTACTCCTCCACTGCTGATACTATTTGGGGTGAGAATGGGTGGAGAGGTCCCAACAGCCTCATCAGTGCCACTTTCGGGCGTGGTAGCTTGAGCCTGGGGATGATGATGATGGGAATGAGGAGGATGATGGTGGTGATGGTGGTGATGATGATGGTGATGAGGCAGTGGCGACGGGCTGAAAGATGAAGGTGCAAGGCCAGAGGGAGATGTGGTGGACGAGAGATTGAGGTTGAGCTCATTGGGTGGAGCCAGGATGAGATGGAGTCCTCCTTGGGAGAGGTGGGAGTTGGTGGTGGAGTGTGTGACACAGCCACCAGGTGGAGGCGCTCCACTGCTGCTGACCTGGGTGGAGTAGGACAGGTCTTTGCTGAAGACGGGGGAGTGGTAGTCAGAGGTCTGTTCCAACTCGAACAGCGGCAGAGAGGAAAGTGTGAGGGCCGAAGATGATCCTTTACGCAAAACCTGACGATAAATGTCAAGCAGGGAGTCGAGTTTTGACTCAATTGACTGGACCTGTGAAGAACAGGGGAGGACAACAGCAAGAAAGAGAGAACAATCAGTGAGGATGGAAGGTAGTCTCCCATTGTCCCACTCTCAAGAGCCACAAAGGTTTGACAAATAAGAATGGGTCTTCGATAAGTTACAATACAGCTTACTGTCTCACCGTCACGCAACTGGTTGGAGTGTCAGCTTTAAGCAAAGTTACACTAATTGCCAGACAAAGCAGCGCATTACTCACAGATGTGATCACGCCTGGGCTGCACTGTCTGCATGAGCAGTGCCTTGCAGAACGTCTTGCCTTTAATTTCCCTGCCCATGTTTTCAGGTTAGAGCGGCCACACTGCCTGTGTGAGACAGGCATGTGAGCCTTTGCTGCTCTCAGAGTGAGTTGAAGACCGGCCTATTATCTCGGTGTGCGGTTCACAGTAAAATAGACAGTGAACGTCCATATCTGCCAAATATACTTCCTGTTCCCGTTTCAAAGACTCAGCAACTCTGCGGCAGACACGCTGCTGTGTGAACAACAGATGCTTGTGAAACACAGCAGATCTCGTGCTGCACACGCACCTAGTGTGGCCCAGGCGTTAGCTTTGCTTAGTCTAGTTTAGCAGAAGTGCAAAGCCATGTTTTATCAAAACTAAGAAAAAAGCTGCAGTGTTAACATCACTGTTGCCAGGTTTGCTAACACAACATTGAACAATTTCACAGTATTACTTGCAGGTATTGTAAACACTTCAGAGTTTCACTCCTCTTCAGTAGACAGCTGTGGAGCCCCTAAGATCCCGACAGGTGATTTTACTTGTTCACAAAATATGCACCTGATAATAAAACTTGTGCACACAAGTTATTATTTAAAATTTCATGTGTCTCTAACCACGTCAGATGCACAAAGCCAACTATTTCCAACAAGGTAATTATCTTGCGCAAACAAGTTATCTTCTGCTCTCAAGATAATAGATTATGCACACAAGATAAGAAACCTGTTGGGACGTGAGGGGGTCTGTAGCCTGTGCAGAACACTATTGGAGTTAAAAATAAGCTTTAATAGAACTTTATATGGTTCCTCAATTCTTCAATTAAAGAAAGTACAAAACAGACAGACTATGTTCCATAATATTATTATTACCATTTCACCTTTCCTGAGACTGTAGGCATATTTCACTATAGCTGGATATGCTGCACAAACTAAGTGTTGACGAGTGAAATGAACTGTTGTCTGTCGAGAATTCATTAAAGCTCTCAACATCTCCACTCCTCTCCACAGAGCCATGCTAATTGTTTACATCTGCTTCCAGTCTTTATGCTAAGCTAAACGAACCATGTCATTACTCCAGCTCTGTAGTTGATGCAAAGAAACACGAGTGGTATTGAATATCATCTCACTTGTAAGCAAAGCAAAGCAAATCCCAAAACTCTATTCTCCCTATTTTCTGCTAATCAAATAATGCATCATAAGATATTCAAGACTTAAACCTGAATGCATTTAAAAATACAAACAGAGGACTGGGTCTGGGGAATAATGACTGATAATGTAATCCACTATAAGAGAATAAAACATTATAGAAGAAGCAACACACAGACCTGTCGCTCCACCTTACAGACACGACCCAGCATGCTCATGTCTTCCAATATGTCTCCATCAGATAGTAGCTTCTCTCGAATCTTCTTATCCAGAGGGATCTGGCCCTTCCCCAGGATTTGGTCCACTCTGGAAGACACACACACACAGACACACACGCACACAAACAAGCACATGCAAACACAAGAAGACATCAGTGACAAAGAGAGACCCAAGAAGAAATCCATGAGGCAGCCAACAGAAAGGAAGATTGAAGCTGCAACCGAATCATAGATTATTGTAAAGCAAACTCTTACAGGCAAGTGAGACGTTGTACTTCCTCACTGGATTTGAAAAATTGTTTATGTTGGATGGGTCAATATCAATGTTAGGATGGTGTGTTACTAAAGCTGTTCCTTGTGATTCCAACAGGTAAAAAAAGGGATTTTTCCTTCTCTGCTCTGAATTAATTTTCCATTCCTTTACAGGTTCTTATTCAAATTCTGATTCTGTCCGTCTCTCTCTCTCTTTACATAAAACACTGCTTGTGCTCAATCCAGTGAGGTTCAGTAGAATCTGGTTAACAAGGTCTGTTAATGAGGACAGGGATAAGCCAAGGCAATGTCATGCAATTAAAACACCACCACAGTTTTAGAGTAAAATATATAATGAAAGCTTTGACAGGGTCCTCCAACACCAAACCAGATCTGCATCTAAGAATGTTTTTTTCTTTTTGAATGGCTGTAACCCAATCTACTATAAACTTGGCGGCCGTACTGTTGGCAGCAGTGTAATAAAGAAATGTTATTCTTTATGTTGTAAAATGGAAACTTAATGCAATTAATGCCTAATAAAGACAGTAAACAAATAAGCCAAAGCTACTTCAAAGACAATAGTGATCCATATTGTAAAGTTAGTGTTTTTTAGGTCAATGTGTTCTGAGTTTTCTAATTTCAGTGTTGTGGTACAAAAGACGATCTTAAAACACAGATCAAGTGTTTTGGTTGCAAAGTGCATTTTGAATGTCAGATTGACTCAGTAGAGAAAATCTGTAATTTTAGGATTTGGTTGCAGTGAGATAATTCTCTAGTCAGATGCTATCAACCTACAGCTATCACGAACAGGGAGCAATGAGATGACGACGTGACCAACAAACCAGAAAGGAATGAAAACAATGTTTCACAAGTAAACTTGAGGAGGGTTATAGTCTCCTTGTGGCTCCACACACATCTAACGTTTACACCTGCAACTATTTTGGACAAAATGGTTCAGTTTTAGTCATTTGCTGCGTGTACTTTCTTTCGATGTGTTAACTTTTCTTCAGCATTTGAATCCCAAGTTTGCAATTCCAATTTGCACATAAAACTGAAGACTGAAACAAATGTTAATATACAGCTAAATGCAGCAGTAATCGTAACTTAATGTCCACTAACTGGCAATTTCTGGCGCTTTCAGCCTCATCGTAATGTAGAAAGCAGACATTACAATCTTCATCCAAATATACAACAATGTATTGGTATAATCAGTTTGTAAACAACAGTTGATGAAGACCATGACATGTGGTTTAAAGCAGCTCTGAAAAAGCAGCTCATCTCTTAAGTGTCAGCACCCCCTGAATAACAGTTTAAAATGCATGCAGCATTTTCAGTGAACGGTAACAGCAGGGGGAGCTTTTACAGCTGCAATACCAGATCAATACACAGCTGCATAGTTTTGGAGTAGGAGTGTGCATTACAGGGGGGGGTCTGTGCGATAGGTGTTTATATCAGGTTGGAATCTCATGTGTTGATTCCCAGAATTCACCAAAGCAAAACCAACAACCAGAGTCTTTATATTGAAGAGTTTTTTTGGTGTTTAGTTGGGTCAGTAGACGACTGCACACCCAGGTCAGAAGAGTTAAAGAGAGGAGTTCAAGCTCAGTCAATTCAAACAAATAAACTTGATCTTATCATCTCATAATTTGACGAATGGTTTCAGTTTTAATATTTTTTAAGCAAGAACAAACTCTTGAATTGACTGAGTGAAGTGAACTGAACATGGACATGGATAAGTGAAGGAGGGGAGAGGGGAGGGGGTTGTATTCTGACCCCTGAGTGGAGTTCTTTCTGCCCTGGCTGTAATAGACAGGGAGAGAGGGGGAGGAAAAGGTTTTGGCTCTGCTGCTCAGGGGCTGTGGGCCGACAATCATGTCCAGCCTGTGAGGGAAGCAAACACACACACACATAAACATTCACACAAAATGTAGGATAACAGACAGACATACATCAGTATTACACAGATATTTACCCATGCATTTATAAGACAGAGAAGCACACATCCACACAAACGCACACACCAAGATGCATCAGTTACATTCTGCTCAATCAGCTCTGGTTTGACATCAGACTATAGCATTGACAACTGAGTGTGTTTGTGTGTGTGTGGTTGTGTGTGTGTGTGTGTGTGTGTGTGTGTGTGTGTGTGTCTGTCCTTCCTACCTGGTCTGCAGGCTCTTGATGCGACACAGCATGTCCAAGTGACCGGCAGAGTACTGTTCAATCACGTCCTTCACATCGTAAGGACGCAGCGTCTCTTTAAACTTCTTCTTGGCCACATGGAACTTCATTATCCTGCGCAAACACCAGAGAGGTTCACAGAACAGCCTCAAGAGGGAGCTCTGATACAGTCAGTGTAGACTTGCAGCAACTCCACTGATAATATTTCACGGAGTGCAGCTAATGAAAACAAAACAAACCTTATCTTTCCAGTCTGTTTTTTTTTTTTTAAAGGTGCCCAAAATGTGTCATTGCATGCCGACGGGAAGTTTCTTCACACCAATGTGAGGAATCAGAACACAAGAACATATCTCCAGTGAACCTTACAGCAACATCCATCGAGCTGGTGGCTGCTTATTGTTGCTGCGTGCATGTAAATTTATTGGAGTGAATAAAAAGCTCTCTGAATTTATGCACCTGTGGCTCTGGAGCCGAATGTGAGAGTCTGAGTCTCTGGAGAGAGAAGGCAGCCGGCGAGAACAGACAACAATAAAACCGAGTCTTAAAGTGAAGAGCAGGGGAAACAATTCTTGAATGTTTGTGTGAAGCCATATTTTTTTATGGCCAGTCAGGATTTGGGCTGGTGTCTGTCACTTACACAGGTCAACCAAAGTCTTTCAGGGTTCAGATGCATTCAATGACACTCTATATATAGCAGCACCCCCAACCCCATGAACTGAAGTATAGCTGGCTTGTTGTGATGGAGAAGACAACGTTTTATTTTTCGTTCATGAGCTGAGGTAAGCAGCGTTACTCCCGTCTCCCCAGATGTATAATTATGTTGAACCACTGAGAGAGAGATTTGTTTTGCTAAGCACAGGAACAATTCCTTTCAAACACCCAAAAGCAGAGTCAGGTCTTTACAGACTCAGACTCCACTGAGGTCCATTTTCTTTGGATCTGCTTTTCATGCACCATCTTGATGAGGGTTCAGGACAGAGGATGCCTCACCTTGTTAAGCCCGATGAGACAAACTGTAATTTGTGAATACGGGCTATATGAATAACATCTGATTGACTGATTGATGTAAATGAATTAGTAATAAAAACATTTAAAAGAGATAAAGCAAAAATATGAATAAATAAATAAACAACACAAGCTTCAAATAAAGAATATATTTGAGGATAAACTACACCAACAAGGATTCAGTTCAACTGAGTGCAGTCATAATTTAAGATTATTGTATATTTTGATATTTTTCATGGTTATTTTTAAAGCCCCTGAAAACATCATTTCAAATCTGAGGTACTTCTTCATTAAGCAGTAATAAAAGTTTTAAAATGTTCTGATCCAAATGTTGCTAAATCCTCACTGTTACATGGAAGTACGTGTAGTTTATCACCACATTCACACTTTTAACCAGTGGAAACAACAGAGAATTTTAAGATAAACAAAACTGTGGCACTTCTGGAACAAAGAAAATATAATTTACACTTGACTCTCAACTTACCATTTTACGCTGAATGAAATAATTGGAATTTGAAGACAAGCACCCACTCGCATCACAGGGAAATAAGATACTGAGAAACTATTCAGCTTTGTGATAGTGAAATGCATTTTCAAATAAAATGGAGTGAGTTGAGCATTTCAGAATTCAGTTCTGATGTTATATTACGCATATGGAACAGTAAGGCCAAAGTCAATTTAAATTACACTGTAGTCCTATTTTAAAACCAATTTCTTTCATTAAAACTGCATCTGAGTGACCATGTTTCTTTTAGGACGTCATGACTGAGACACGCTGTGTCCTTCTCACATGATCACCTTACATACAGTAGCTTTACAGTGATAATGCTCCTGCTCATCATATTTCCTCTGTCTCAACATCACATGAACCAAAGATGATCTAAAAATAAAAGTCTTCCGGTCACTTTAATCCCCTGAGCACGTTCAGTCAGGGGAGCTGCTGAGCGGCAGGGGGCTGGGATCAGGGTTTGTTTACACACAACCCCGGCAGCAGAAAAATACAGTATTAGTTGGAGCGATGGGAGAGGCCTCCTTTCCTTTGCCTCACCTGACAGCTCTAATGACAGTCTTGACTGAGGGCAGCAAGTCCTCCACCGAGATATCACAGTGACAGCCCCTCTCGTCAAAGCCGTCGTCCCCGGCCATGTTGGAGTCTGCTGCTTGGGAGAGAGAACATTACTGTGAGGCAGGGGCTCAGACACGATGCCTTCACATTAGTCTTACTACTCTAAAACCTCCAGTCTACATCCGCCACTAAAGAAGTGTGTGATTTTTATCATTAGTCCTACCTGGGATATATTGGTATTGACAATAACCGTGAGATTAAAACAATTATATTACTATCATGTTAACAATAGAGATAGGATAATATTGTGTAAATAATGTTGCTTAATTGATTGTGTTAATAACGTAGCTTAAATAATTTCTGTATCTTTCTGTCTTGATGCAGCAACTATCTGCTTCACACTCCAACATAATATTACTACTACTACTGATAATAACAATAATGATAGTAATAATCATCACAATTATAAAAATCTTTATGTATAAACCACATTGTAAAACACAGTTACAAGGTACTTTACAGCATAACACATCATTTTGAAATGTTTTCATTGTACATTAATTTGCCAAAAAAGAAAGAAATTTAACCAGATATGACATTATTCTATTATCGTCAATAATTTTTGTCACGACACTCATGTGGTGAATATTTGATATCATAGGTCAGAGAAATAGAACAGCTCTTTCCTGTGAAATGTTATGTGATGCTTAAAATAAATGAAACCTGCGTTATTAGATTTTTAGGCCACTTGGGGGCACTAGAACAACCCAAAAACCACACAAACATAACAATAAAAATTATATAAAAACAGAACATTTTTTGGAAAATGTTAGTAAAATGTTGCCAATTTAAATCCAGCAGACACAGCGCAACCTCAACATTAAGTGAGGCTGTCTCAGCAGAAATCTAACCATTACTGTCACTAGGTAAAGTAAGACGGTTTACACCTCATCAGGGTGCAACAGTGTATTCAAACACACTGGTTGAACTTGACAGAAATTGACTGGATTAAAAGCGAAAGTGAAAAATGATCAGATAGAGAAACAGGGTTTAGAGCCGCTGTCTGGAGGAGCAGAGCAGTCGTAAAGAACAGGCCTCTGGTGTGCCTGTAGATTTATTACTAACAACGCAACTTTGTCACAATACAGCTCTGTCCAAGGGCCTCTTGAGTTACTACACCCACAGGAGGTAAGCAGAGGGTTTCAGTACAAGAGCTGGACTGCAGAGATGAGCTATGTGTTCTGTTTAACCATAATAATGTGAATGTGCCCATATAAGTGTCAGTCAATAGTGCACAGCATGTAGGATCTGTGTGTGTTAATATGTGTGTGATACATGATTGAGTTAAAGCTGCTGATTATACAGACAGTGTGTGTAATGTGAAAGCGTAGAGTATCACCACAGGAGAATGTTAAACTGTGCTGATTGATGTTTTGCACCATTAAATAGAATATAAAAATCTTCCACTATAATAACTTTTTATTTCACTTGTAATGGAGCCATAATGAAATGGATATGTTTCCGATCCTCTAACATCTCATTTAGTCAACATGTCAGTGAATGATCAGACGGAGCGCGGCTAACCAGCCAACCAGTTTGGTTTTGGCTGGCTCGGGTTATTGATTCCTCTCCACCGCCGGTCCTCGCCAGCTGGCTGGATCCGACACCCCATATGGCTGCTGGAGCTCACCACCCCCACCTTCTATCAATCCATCACTTCACCCACAAACACTAACTGGCCATTACCCAGGAGGGCTTGCCAGGCCGGCAAAGCTAGGCCAAGGCAGAGAGGTGGGAGTGGCTAGCATTCCTCCATTCCTTTGCATGAGTTAATGGCCAGAGCCAGGTCTGGTGGGTTTATGGACGGCCAATATGCCTCAATTCATTACTTGTAGTGAAACTGGAAGACTCACCTGTCACATGTTTGAAGTTAAATATTACATTTCTGTAAGGAGCAGGTGAGACAGGTAAGGTTCTCTGCAAGCTGGTTTTCATACTTGTGCATGGATGAACCTAATGAGAATTACTAATGACATGACCACTAACATGAGAGTGGTATTGATCTCATGTAACTTACAGAGAGAAAGTGGGTATGTGTACACAAGTTTGCATTTTTTTGCAGTTAAAGGTATGCTTTGTGAGATTTAGTGATATCTAGTGGATCTTACTGGACGTCAGGGACAGAAAAATGTGAAAAAAACATGTTCTGGGCCACAGTAAAGTCATGGTGGTACAAGCCGGACTAGATGGAAGAGGACCCACTATATAGAGATGAATTCTTATACTTCTTATAATCATTATACACTAATTAAAACATAATCATGGATATGAAACTCTTTTTCAGTAATTATATCCTCTTAACATCCTGAACCTTCAAGCTGCATCACAACACACATTTGCATCTTCTTCACTGAGAGTACTGTACTGAATATTGTATATGGAAAGAATGACAATAAATTCTACTTTAAGTTATTACAAATTTTAACTTAAATGCATGCTCCATATTAATCTGGATGAAGTAAGACAGTGTCTATGAATGGCAGGACAGAGTCACTTACCATCAGTGGTGGAGCGAGACTGACTCTTAAGGCGGAGTGAAGGTCTGAAGCGTGTGCGGTCATTGAAGCTCCAACTCTTCTGTACCTTGGCGGGGCTGGTGCCCTCTGTACCTGCTTCAGCCACTGGTGACCGCCGGTCGTTCACTGAAGACGTCTGCCTCTGCTTGATGCTCTGACCTCGAGGGCTCGCCATCCGTACCCGCTCCTTAAAGCTCAACTTTTGGCTGCAAAGTTTGGATGACCAGTGGTTCACAGCGAGGTTAGAATGAGAGGAAAAAGATGGGAATGGTTTATGAGGAGGTGAAATGACAGACAGATAAAGAAAATGTTAGTTTCAGCAACAACATGAATGATACCTTTGGTAAAATGCTGTTTGTTCCTTTGCACCAATCATGTGATAAATGGGATCATCCAGAACTTTACCAACCAAAACAAGGGTGGCGGGCTGCAGCACAAGATGGAGAAAGACCAGCATGCATTGCAGCAGGTGCTTCACACAAAATGCAAGCTCGGGTTAAATATGATGCTTCAGCTGTGTGTTTGAGTTGTGCCTGGAAATTTATGTCTGCATCAGCTACAGTACGTCAGGACATTCAATGCCACACTTTATCAAATGGATATTCATTCTTTGTGACACCATGATACGTTACTTACCATTCACAACAGCAATTCATCATTTAAAGGCACGAGATTGATTGCACATGAATTAATGGATTATGGAAGATAATAAATAGAGGTTACTTGTGGAAAGTGAAGGAACACCTAGCTCATCAGGAGGCAGCCGATTATTTGTTTATGCAGCTTTGAGTACAGCATGGAGAGGAAGTGCACAGGCAACAGGCATCATGGCTTTGACTACCTATAATCACTTCAATGGTATTTTATGTTGAAGTAAACCAATGACTGTAAAGATGGACAATATGACAACTAAGCCAAAACATCTCGAACGCCCCCTGGTGGTTTGCTGCAGTATAGGTCATAAACCCTGTCTTGTGGGTGGAACAAAAAAGTCAAAGTACATGTTAATCACACTGACATATATGTCAGCCTTCATTTTTCTGATAAATTGGTATTAATCTGTTAAACGGTGTGAAACATCAAGATTGACAGCTGAGACTGACTCGATTGGTCGAGCTCGTGTGCTTTGATTCTGCAGTTCCACTCCACAGTCACTACTGCACAGACTCTGGCTACACATGACAGTAGCTGTGTCCTTGATATTGTAGTTTCACTTTTGCACAGTGGGAGGGGGGGTATTTTCAGGACCTTGATACCGTAGCTTCACACAATGTCCAGGATATTTTGCCGGGGGGGGGGGGGGGGGGATGTGTCGTCCATCTTTACACAGTCTATGGATTGAACATGTGTAGTTTTACAACAAAGGATATGTCTGGCAATATGTCATCAAATCTAATGGAAAGACCAAAGGTTAAAAATGTGTTCATCTCAATACTTTCTGACTCCTGTGTGTCATGACTGCAGTCGTTTTCTTTAGTGCATATTGTTGTCTCTGGGTTAAGTGTGTGTCTGTATGGTTGTGCTCTTCTATGCAAAATGTGTGCAGGTGTGAGGACGTTGTTGGTGGACCCTTTCCCCGCTCTATGGTTTCCCCAGCCAAGATGGTGACGCAAGCGAGGTCAGATGACAATATGCCCCATATCTCATCAACCACCAACCAGCCATGCACCGAAACCATTGTTAAACCTGGAGTTTGTAACCTTGTTAAAAAGTCGGGGTGGACAACCATTTGTGTTTTCTCCTGTTTAATCTAATTAGGGAGTTAAGAAGTTTCTTTCTGTTGTATTATCTGCTACTTTGCAGTTAGTGTGGCTTTGTTTGTTATGTTGACCTTTGTCCACCCCTGAAGTCAAAGTAATCGTTATTTGTAAGCTTAAAATAAATAGCCATTATTGGCTATTTTGAAGTAATCTGTGTTCGAGTGGCTGCTTGGGACTTGAGGGAAAATGGGAGCATAATTCTTGTTATGTTCTGGCCACTAGATGGGAAATTACACCTCACTTGTATGTGTCACTAAGCCACTGGTTCCTACTGAGGATCTCAGAAGTACAGTATATATTTTCATAAAAAAGCTCAGAGCTTCAGCACTGAAAGTTTAGCAAACACAAAAGTAAAGTGTATTTGTAAACTGAACAACATTCAGCTGCAGATTACAACAGCAAGATGGTGCGAAAATAAAATACAGTGGACATGTCCACAAGAACCATGTCACCGAGAGCAACAGTGTGACTCACTCGCTGAGTCATTATTGGTTTTGGTCTTTTCATTATATTTGTTGCTGCTAAAAACAAAAGAATATCACCAGACCAGATCTGTTAAAGTGGCCGTGGCTAAACAGGCATAGTGTGTTTGAGTGACAGCCACGTGTCATAACTAGTGTAAGGAATACAAGCACAGAGTTTGCACATCAGGTGCTGCATGAATAAGAAAATCTAATAGTCAATGACATTAAGTCATTTTCTTTATAATAATGTTTTAAATGTTATTTCACAGAAGATGAGGCTTGGCACAAATGTAGTTAAAACCAAAGTCACGACAGGCAGCGGCAGCGCATTGCTCAGGCAAAGATCAGACAGAGGCAGATAGTGTTTTACTGTAAAGGCGACTGTAGAGTCCCTGCAAGATTAACTGGCTCTGCCCTCTCTAAGGCTGCACAGCCTCCTACAGATACCCATGCACCAAGAATTAGTCAGCATTCCCAAAGAACAACGTCATGTAGCAGGGGAGCAGAAACGCTGTGTACCTATGTTTCCGAGCGGTACACCTCCTCAGTAGCTTCTGTTTATTACTATGAATTGGACTAAAAAACCAAGGGGAGATAGACATATGGTGACGTGTTACATGATGCAGCACTGGAGGAGAGAAAATGTTTACCTCTGAATGTTTTGAGGATGAAATATTGCACTTCATTTCACTTTGTTACCTTCTTCCTTTTTTTTCTTTACCTAAGACTTCTTGTGCCTCTTGCTACTTATTTCTTTCTGCATTAGAGTCGATGTGAATGAAAGTCAGCGAGAGGCCTGACATCTTAATGCAATGATCCTTTGTAAAACCTTTCATAATAAGGACGTAGAGTATAAAGTAATCCATCAGAGCTTCTGGTGGCACTTGTCGACCACTGACATTTAGAAGCAGCAGAAGGGAGGCAATTGAGCTTAGTCGGAGAAAATGAACATCTACAGCACTATTTGAAAAAGGCTGCAATTTGGTGACTCACACACTTCATGTCGATATCCCTCATTTAACTATGTGAATTCAGCTATGCCATGGCAACAAGTGCCTGAGTCACCAGTGTGAGGCCAGTAACCTTTAGATAGATACTGGGTTCACTGGGGGTATGTAGATCTGGACCTGTTTTTTTTTTTTGTTCTGGCTGTTTTTTATCTCAGCACTTCTGTGATGTAATTCTTTGAAAGCGAATAAATAAATCTAGCTAATAAATAAAGGAAGGTGGCTCCAGTCTGACTGTACAGTGTCGTTTTTCATCTCCTCTCCAGCTCTGCAGTGGAGACGTAAACTGAGCTGGGGATTTCTAGAGCTCTCCTCCCTCGTTCATAAGACATTCTTCTTAAGACATACTCAAGACTGTGTGGGATTATTTATGTTCTTTCGTGTGTGTGCAGTCGAGGCCGACTCTCATATTTTAGTTTAGCTACTTTTTTTATATGACTTTCAACATGCGTTGGCTCCCCCTGCAATTTTAACAGTATTGTCCATATATGACACAAGGCTCACGAGAGAAAAGCTTCAGCTGCCTTCACAGACTGGCTGTGGTGTTTCATAGACAAACATTTACTCAGCGTTTCATAACTGCAAACACAACACTTAACATCACTCAGCCCTCACTGGCCTGCATGCTGTCCTCCCCTAATGACTCTAAAAAGGCATTAGCTAAAGGAATAACTAAGTGTGTGTCAGATGCTGTAAGTAGGGTATATTCATCACCCACAAACTTAAACTGTGAAGCTTCAATTATACTCCCCAGTGGGCACGTATACACGGACAGTTACAGACTCCACAGATGTGTACTTGTTCTTATTACACTACTCTCAATCTGCTTCGAGACCGCTTGGTGCACAGCTGGTGCCGCTGTAGTTGGTGCCCTTGTGGCACAAACAATTGGTGGGTACACCAACGTCTGCACAGACATGTGCACACACCCATCGATGACTTTTACGTCTCACATAAAGACCATACATGTAGACCATACGCATCAATTCTGGGACTGTACTTTAAACTCAGGTTTACTCATTGAACTGTGCAAAACTTATATATCTGTCTGTGCAATTCAATGGCTCATGTGCAATCCATTACACTGTGTTCATTTTACTCACATTGTATATATTCTGTTCACACTGTGTATTTTATTTATATTATATTTATATCTGTACATCTCCTTGGATTTATAGTGTACATTTACCTATTTATTACTTTTACTGATGTCTATTTAGACTGTCCTCTTTGCTGCAACACAGCACATTTCCCCTGTGTGGGACTAATTAAGGATTATCTTATCTTATCTAACAGGAGTAACAGGAGTCTAGAGGTTTATAATGGTTCATATTTCTCCCCTAACAGAGCTGGGAATCATTCAAAAGGTTTGGAAACTGGTGCAGACATGACATCCAGCATAATGTGTTGCTGATATCTTACTCTGAAGCTGCCTGAATCAATGTGTGTCAATTAAGATAATCTTATTATTAAATGATGAGCTGACTGCAGCTCCTCTTAGCATTTTTTTTTAGCTGATGTTGTGGTTTTAGGGTCCAGCAACTGTTTGTTTCACTCTCATCAACGTCAGAAAAACTCTGTTCACCACTATAGCTTCCCAGCACCAAGCAGCAGACAAAGTTAGAGACAGGCTATAAACATAGTGGAGCATCTAGCAAGAAACAATAAGAGTTTGTGGAGACCAAAAATAATCCATCCATCTATACCACCTATCCTTAAGGGTCACAGGGGAGCTGGAGCAAATCTAGAAATACAATCCATTCTTTCCTTTCACTTAAGAAGCCACACTTCTCAAAATAACTTAATAAATTAAATCTAAGTAATAAAATAAAAGATTGAACTCTTTCTTATTTTTTTAAATACACTTTTTAAAGGTGCATTTGAGTCAGTAGTACCAAAAAGGTATTCAAGTCTCCAGACCTACATTTGAATTATGTGTAAAAACATGAATGGAAGAAAGGGGATGTTCAGAGTAACAAACCTTGTGGTCGACTCTCCCTGCTCCTTCCTGCAGGTGAGTAGAAGCAAAAAAAAAAGAACTATTAGAAAACATGTTTACATCATATTTTGTGTTAACAACTTATTGGACCATACCAGTGCTTCTGCATGTTTCAGCCCACAAATCATATCGACTTTTAACCATATTGAAAACCATTATCACAGTGAGAAATTTGAATGCATATTTTTTACCAGTTTCCAGTTATTTCCACACGATATTAAAATGTGTTGGTGATATCTCTATCTAGTTTATTCAGAAATGTTGGAACCAAATGTTCAGATACACATGTTCAGGGGCTAAAAGCTGACAACAGACTGGTGTGGTCCTTAAAAAGATGGGAAGATTTTTATATTCAGGGCTTTGTCAGCAGCTGCTGCTTCTACACATGCAGAGGATTTCAGGACAGAAACACATTAATCAATAAAATTCATTCCAGGGGAAATAGACCTGAACAAACAGCAGGCTCACTACAAACATGCAGGTCACTGCAGAGTGACCGGGCAAACTAAGGAAGCACTTGCAAAAAGAGAAGGTACCAAACATTTGGATTTTAACACATTAAGGAGTATGTTTGTATGTTTGGAATTTGTGTGTGTGCATTTTGTATATTTAGTTTATGATGACTTTGACTGTAAACTGGACAGCTTGCAGATGGTCTTAAAATTTCCAGGCTCCACACAAGTTTCTAAACTGTGTCAAGCGCACACAAAGGGGTTAGAAAACCAACCTCAATGACTGATTGAATGGAAGAAAAGAACGCAGGATAAAGAACTGGAAAAGTAGGTGGAGATGTCCTTGTCAGCTGAGAGTCCATAATTAGTTCACATCTAACATTTTAGATGGAACACAGCATCCTGATCATGTTATTGTTAATATCCAGACTGAGGGAGGTTCTGTGCTCTTAAAGTGAGCCGCAGGCGTTCAGCAGGAGTTTCATCTACGCTCAGGGAGCTTTCTGTGTTTATTGATGGTTGGGAACACACACACAGGACACTTCTCACTACCTGCTGGAGACACTTCTGTGTCACCTCTGGTTTGTGATATTACTTTTACTGGCTGTGATTTCTCACTGGAATTCCAAGTGTCACATCCGGGAGCTAGAGGTGACAGAATGGTTGTGGAAATGGGGATTGAGAGTTCCACGTACAAATTTAATTTGACTGGTTTCCAGCAGGTTGCTCTATTTGGGCTGAACTACAAGCTGGCCGTTGGACAGTGTTGGCAGAATTAAATCCATTACAAATGCAGCAATATCTCCCAGATAACATGCAGATGATTACAATCACTTTGTAAGCTCTTTGTAAATCCAGAGAATGTAAATATACGTTAGAAGCATTTAAGATGAACCTTTCAGTATGTATGACTTCAGGTTCATCTTTTATAAATAAATCATTGTGAACATAAACTTATATAAAATTTTTTCCCTTTGTTCCAGACCAAGTGAACCTAAATCACGCTACAGCTGCTTTCAGACATGCACTGAACTCCTGACCTTTTCCTGAAATTTTTAGGAGGAGCTGTATTTGAGAACGCATATGTCAGAGTCTGTTGCTCCGGAACTTTTCCTGTCAGCCCCGCCGAGTACAATGTCTGAAAAACTTCTGAATAAGCGCATGTGAAAATACAACAAGACAATGTCCAGAAAATCCACAGTGAGCGAGCGGGTGTGTAGATGATGTTTCTAACACAGGACGGACACAAAACTGTTAAATAAAAAAAGAATACAGATAGCTTCAATGATTATATTATACGACTATACAACTATTGATATCAAATTTAAGATAGATTTCAGCAGTAGAATTTATTTTACGTCCTGCCTCCTGCAGCACCCCCCCTCCACTGAATGTTCCAGACATTTTCCTGTTCGTGTGAATTCGTGTGATCCGGACAATCTCCTGCTATGTCTGAAAACAGCTTAAATATGGAAAATATCCAGTAGCTATCATGACATTTTGACAATGACTTTTCTACTCCCCTTTGTGTGCATCCTCATTTGTCTGTTTATTTTCATGTACAGATCTGCCAGCTGCCAAAGCCTGTGCCAAACGGAATTACATAGACTGATGTATGTTATATATTATGTATTATATAGACAGAATTAAAAAAAGGCTGACTAGCTCATTGAGGTCAATACTGCGAGAAACAGATATACCACAGAGGGCTGCTGCTAGAATTGCTGCCTCAGTCTCTAAAGTGACAGCAGTGAAAATCCCTGCACTAAGCACTCAACTGACTTTAGTCAAACACTTTCAGCCTAACACAGTCTGAGCCAATGTGAGTGGTGCAGAGGGATAAACTGAAGTTAACAGAGCCTGAAAATGACTGGTCTGTGATGTGAAGCATTTTCTCTTAAGGAAAAAGGAATTATCAAAATAAATGCATTTGGAATATAAAGAGGAAAACAAAAAGCAGATATATAAAACAATAAGACAGAGCAGGGAAAAAGTAAAACGGTGAATAAAATAAAAGGTATATAGTCACTTAAAATGCACATTATTGAAGTATAGGAAAAAAGATGACCAGAGTGGCTCAGACACCAGCTGCCATTTTGTACCTACTTTGTAGGGCTGCAGGTGTGCAACGCCTTCAAGTGAGGCTTCCAGGTAGCAATGGAAACCGAGTTCTCATCAGCCGCATAACTACGCCAAACACACTACATGCAGGATACACAAAACCAGGAGGAAGAAAAAAGTACAAAGAAAGAAAATGATAAACGGAAAGATAAAATAATAAAAAAAAACAAAAAGGCAAAGAGGGAGTAAGAGAGAAGAAGAGGAGGAAGAGGAAGGAGAGAAAGAGGAGAAAAGACAGAAAAAAAAAGATTAGTGAAAACAAAAAAACTGGTGTGTCACACGTCTGTGGTTGAGCGGAGGTCAGGCATGAATACATGCCTGTGGGAAGGCAGGAGGCTCTCATAGTGCCGCCATGTGGCATCCAGGTACGGCCTGGTGCTGTCAGTGGAATAATAACGCCACGCAGCCTGGTACAACATGGGGGCAGACAGGATGAAGAGGAGGAGGTGGTGGTGGACAGCAGAAGAGGTGGGGGTCAGGAGAGAGGGGAGATGGGAAAATAAAAGGGAAGAGAAAGGAGAAGCCATAGAGAAAGCACATAGGAGAAAAGTAAGAGGTAAGAGAGCGAGGGGGAGGAAAAGGGAACGCATGGAGAAATATATGAGGAGGACAATGTGAGGTCAGCACCACTAACATCCAGCAGGACACAGTGAGTGTGAAGGTCAGACTGGGAAAGAAGGAAATGTGTAATGCAGAAAAGATGAAGGAGCAAGAATGGGTTTGACAAACTTGTGTTTCTCAAGAGTGAAACGAGTGAATGTACTCCCAGAGATGAAAGATCTCAGTGATGGGGGGGGGGGGTTGGACAGGCTCTAAGGGTGGACAGAGTGAAGCTGTGTGCTTTTTATGGGGTCATGTCAGGTTTTCAGAGAATCCATGGAGGAAAAAGAGAAAGTGGTGAATGATAATGGCTGTTTTAATCACATGTATTAGTTATTTCGGTTCTGTGGTGAATTGTGTTGAGTAATGGCAACAATCCATAATGTCTTTCATTCATCAGCTAAATGTTTTCATTTTTGTGTGAGAGAGATAGGAGAGAGGGGGCTGTGCTGTGTGTTTTACCTGGATGAGGTAGGCTGCTGGGTTTCTTCTTTTCTCAAAGTGCTTCTGTCTGTGCTGCTCTTGGACCTTCAGGGCAAAGCCAGAGCCCAGAATACCCTAGAAAAATATTAATAAGGAATAAATACTGAACGCATGTGTACACCAAGGAAACTCAAGTATCACTGAGTTGCTGAGCAAAGACATAAACAACTCTGACGTGTTGTGGCTGCATATAAAACAACGTTACATCTTCTTGAAGGAGGAGTTTGACATATTTGCAACTACGCCTGTTCACTGTCTTGTTGAGAGTTAGATGAGATCTGAGGGGATATTCACATAATGGTGGAGAATCAGCTTTGACACATGCCTCTTCTATCATTGTGTATGTGTTGTCAGGTGCAGAGGTGCACAAAAAAATTGAATCCGCTCATCCTGAGCAGCACTGACATTTGAGCCAACAACCAGGAAATGTTGAACTTAGAGACGGATGAAAAAATGTTTTTCTGTGTAGCCACAGCTGTACATTCAGCTACATGCTGAAATAACACAAAAAATACCTATACTGGTAAAAATACCAACATCAGGTTACGAAAACACCTTTTAAGTCTCTGAAACACAATGTTACTAGCAACATTAGCTTGCTAGTGCAGTGCCTGTTATACACTTGTAGCTCCTCCAGAATAATTCCTGGTCATTAGTGAGTCCTCCTCAAACAGGTCCACAATATACTGTCACTCTGTGTGCAGAACATTTTATAAACAGTCTATGTTGCAGAGTGAAGTTACACAACTTTGTGTTTATCACACCTGGTTTATTTTCAATACAAAACATAAAAACATATTTTTGTTTTTCATGAAATGAAACTGAATTTACTTGATTAGTGTTCACATGTGTGGTTTAATTCTAAATGATTTACTAAACTGCTGTAATTTATCTGAGGACATAGAAGAAGACATTCTTCTCAGTCCACAGACTGAAGGCACACTGCCCCGCCCCCACTGACTATTACCGAGCGACTGTTTTTCCAATCTTTACTGAACATAACGAGGTCAATTAGTAGGTGGATAGCTTAAGTGGTGATGTTTTGTAAATCACCACTGGGAGTTCTGGAGTAGTAAATACAGTGCTAACCAATGCGGAGCATGTGGAGCTTCAGTCCCTTGTTCTCCTGCTGTGAACATGCCTTCATCACCGTGCAGGAGTTGGGTGGCAATTAGCTTTGCCAGCATGGAGACTGGAGGCAGGAGGAAACAGTTAAGAATTGTTGTTTCTATTTCTCTTTTTGGGTACGGATCAAACAAATGAGATGCCACATGTTAATTACTGAACAAGTGCTGGTAGGTGTATTTTTTCGGAGACAGCCAGGCATGTTGCTTCCTCTTGCTTCCAGTTGATTAGCTTAACTCTAACTAACGAACCAATCACCTCCTGGCTCCAGCTCAATAGTAGATACAGACATGAGAGCAGGAATAATCCTCTCATCTCACTCTCAGCAAGAAATACAGGATGAAAACATTATTTCTTTTTATAATAAGTTTCTCACTAATTTACTACATTTGTATGGTTCTACTTTAATCGTATTCAAGCAGAAATTACAGGTGCCCTGTGGAGTTGCCTTGTAAGCCAACACAGTTATATTTATATTCACTGTTTCTCAAAAAATGCCCTGTGCGTATCCTTGAGGCTAGAATAAAAGTACTTCCTCATAAACACTGCAAAGTAAGTTTTCTATATTGAAACCTGCATTGTGCACATACGTGTTTACGTTGGCCAGTTCTCTTCTCCCCTGTCTCATGCTGGAATACTATAGGATTTATGACATGTTTTCACATCAGAGGAACAACATAATCAAGTTTAGCGTAACCTCTATTATTCTGTGAGAAAGATACAAGGAAAAAACTCATTAACTTTAATTTAAAATCAATCAGTTAAATTGTACTTCCCTAAAGTATCACAACACTAGCCTGCAATCAAATATCAGCCAAACATATCAATGGTCTAAATAGTCTAGTTGTATAAACAACATGGCTAAAGCCAACTACTGAGTCAGAGGTGATCTCTAAGAAGAGGATGTATGAATTCTTCAGCTTTCTGAGCCCCACAGTAAAAGGAATCATTTAAAGAGTTGGACTTACTGCTGGCAAGGCAAAGAAGGAGATGCCCAAGAGGGCGAACCCTGCGGACAGCATCCGTCCTGTCCACGTCTTTGGTGTCTTGTCCCCATAGCCAATGGTTGTCAGGGTAATCTGTCAAAACAAATAATTTTTAATTTAATACTGAAGTGCCTAGAAGTTTATAGAAAGGAACATGCCAGTCTGGAAAATATATGATACAGTGTAAGTCGTATGTAAGTCATAACATTAAACTCACTCCTCTGTGGCAGAAAGTAATTCCAATGGAAAGTGTTGATGGGTGATGTCTGGAGGATATTGCGTGTAACCTGGATATTGTTTCTTGAAAGATATATTACTTTATGATGCCACATTCCCATCAGGCAAATAATAAATATTCTATTATAGGTTTGGAGCGACAAAAAGTAGCAATGACTTTGTTTCAAGATTTGAACAATCTCTCTCTTTTCAAGTTTGTAAAAGCATTTGTAAGAAAATGATTTACTAACCATTAGAACACCATTAGTTCCAGCTTATTAAAGACTTACACTAAGTAATGTGATAGAAACTGGAAGGATCAAATTGTAATCTTTATAATCAAGGTGTCGGAAGATGTTTCTGGACCAGATATCTTATTCCTTGTTTATACAACTGCAGATAGTATTTTGAACAGATATTTTCTGTTTTTTAAAAATGATCTGTTGGTATTTTTGTGAATATTTAAAATTTTTGAAATTGTTAGAAAATTAGAAAATGTCTTTTGCTGTGAAAACACTTTCATATTTACATGTTTTCCTTTTGCATGCTGCTTTATTTTGCCAAATAGATGCATGACTTGAAATGATGCCTTCGAGCAATGCAATCACATCAGAGTGATTAGGCCCATGTGGAGGTTTTGTAGGAGCAACACTGTTTGGCCTTGGTTCTGCTCCCACTGATTTAAGCCTGTGGCTGAAATGTTTATTCTATGTTGGGTAAAAAAATTATAATTTTAAACACAGTGTGTGGGTTGTTGTTAAGGACAGAATGGGCGGCCATTTTGACAATATTATAGCTTTGACTGACTGAAGAAAGGACAAAAACGTGTTGTTGGGGGACGGAGCTAGGAATTGATATTTTGATAAAGACGAAACAGAGTTAATAGTGATAATGATAAATAGTAATGGGACCTGGCACAGGCTCGCGTGTGTTTCAACAAAAGCCTGAAGAGTAACATTTAATGCAATGGATTCATTATTCAATGACAGCAGCAGATAAAGCAGGTTGTGACTGGAATGAGCACTGCATGTGAAACTGCTGCGCACCGTCAGTCCTCTGTCTGTCTGTATCCATTTATCTCTCCCTCTGTTTTGGCAGAATGATCACCCTGAATTACCTTTTATCCGGGCTCTGATTGCTATGCATGACAAAGGTGGCTGCAGCCATTTGGTACCATTATGTTTTTTTGGACCCACTATGAAAATGATAGTTAATGGAGCCGTGTAGGGCTAATGTTTATGAAAGTGTCGTCAATGCTCAGAGGCAATGACAAACTGAATAATCTCAGCTGAAACGTGTCACTGCGTGCCTGCCAGAAAAAATGGAATTAAATATAGTAAAGACACAGATTTTACCATCCAGTCTAGGAGACATTTTTTTCTTGCAGAAGGTAAAAATCCACCTCTGATGCAAAGAGGTGTAACTCTATCAGTTTTTACTGAATCCTGACAGACAGAGCCTCTCCCCCCACACTCACCGTGCCCCACCACAAGGCATCAGCGTAGGTGGCAAACTCCTTGTTGAACTTGTTCTCCACAAGGTAGACGAGGAACGATGAGAAGATGAGAACCAAGAAGCCGATGTACCAGGCAGTGACCAGTTCCTGCAGACAGAGTTCAAAGCTGATATTCAGGATGTACTCATGGGAAAAGGAGACTTTTGTTAACACACAACCATTTACCGTACGTATATGAACATTCACAGCACATCAACATTAATTGGCTTTTTATTAACTCTGAGGACAGAACTTTCTATGTAAGGGGGACCAGGTCATACAAGTGAAAGTTTTGACTATTTATTATAAAACCGTTGGGTGGGAGCAATTCAGAGCAACCCAAATACAAAAGTGCACAAGAGCAGTGACCTTTATTACTAAGGTTATCAGGAGGACACTTCATATCTTGCTTCACTGAATTATTACTACCTCCAGGAGGCAGCCAATCAACTCTGATTATAAAGCAGATGAAAATGATGATTTAACGTAATCTACTGTCTACCGTTCAGTAAGCAGAGGTAGAAGTCTGAGGAATCATTACAGATAGAACCTTACCTTTTTTAGTTGGTGGAGCTAGTTTAAGATTGTTTTATTTGGTTCAGTTAAAAGTCCAAAGATCATAAATTAGAGGAGACAACGATGAGTAATGAGCGAGGTAAACACCACAAAGTTCTGTTACTCAAGATTCTCCTCTTTTTTTGGGAGACTGGCTGAATTAAATTTGTTGTTTTTTAATGAAGCCATGTGAGAAGTGAGAAGTGGAAATCAATATTTGGTGGAGCTGTGAACAATTAATACTAATCCTTTTTAAAATGGGTCACTGGCCAAAAGGTTGGAAACAACTGGTTTGCTCTACAACAATGTTTTGTATTTATAAGCTTGAAATATTTGTCTTAAATAAATGTAGAGGAGTAAATAGGATAATATTTCTCCTCTGAAGTGTGGTGGGGTACTATAAAATCTGTATAACATAAAGCATGGAATGGAAGTACTCATGTACTCAAACTTATACTTTAAAGGTCCAGTGTGTAAGATTTAGGTTAAAAGGAACTATTGGCAGAAATTTAATGTAGAATAATCTTCATGATGTTTTCACTAGTTTGTTTCATCTAAATTGTATGAATTGTAGTTTCTTTACCCCAGAAAAGACCCTTTATATCTAAATACTTTATATTTACATGGAGGGGACCCTCTCTACAGAGGCCGCCATGTTTTTTACATTAGTCCAGACTGAACAAACTAAACACCTTTTGAGTTTTTATGACAACTGAAGTCTAGCACAGGTTCTTTTTCATGTTTTGAAGGAGAGGGTGAGGTGAGGGGTGTTCAGCTGCAACATGCAACTTCAACACTAGATATCACAAAATTCTACACACTGTACCTTTAAAGTACAGTACTTGAGTAAATATACTTTTTTTGAACACTGGTAGTAACATGATGTTGTGAGAAGGTAAACACACTCATAACTTATATGGGGATGGAAGTTTTAATTGATTTCTGGTGACCAGATCAAGGATCAGGTTTGAATCAGGACACTGTGTAAAGCTCTGGGCCAGGATCAGGGTTGGTTACACGCAGCATCTTCTTCACTTCTGTCCGTCTTTCCATGTTTTCTTTGGTAGATTTTCATTAATCTTGTTGAGGGTCATGATGTCACACCTTGTTAGGCCCATGAGACAAATTATGATTGGTGAATATGAGCTATACAAATAAAATCTGATTAATTGATTGATTGATTTCTAAAACTGATTTATCATAAGTATTTATTTTCTCACTGAGCTGCCTGGATCCAAGTGCGTCATGTGTGCAGTTAGATACACAACCCCCCATGGAAAGATTGAAAGATACAGAGTTGCATTACAGTTGCATTAGTCTTGTGAGCTTAATCAGTTAATTATTTATAATTAATCCATTCATTTCCAACTGTAGTGACGCATGAGGATGCAGGTCCGACAGTAGTATCGTGTGTGTGTGTGTGTGCATGTGGCCGTCTACCTTGCTGTGTGCGTAGACCACAGATCCCAGCAGCTTCCAGGTACCACCTCTTCGGTCCATTCGCACCATGCGCAGGATCTGCAGGAAACGCAGGCTACGCAGGACTGAGGTGGCGAAGATGTTGCCCTGACTCCCCGCTGACACCACTGCCACAGATGCTATCAGCACTATGATGTCTGGAGGGCACAGAGGAAACGCAAACAGACACACACACAAGTGCTTACTAAAAGATAACAATCTGAATCAACCCTCTATGTTCTGTTAATGTCTTAAGATGTCATTAATGTGGAAATCAAATTACAGGACAAGGCTTCTCTAATGAGCTTTTTCTTGCATTGTTTATGTATAATTCTGTAGTTCAAGCCAGGTGAAATATATTAGATGTGAGCACTATAACATATACTTAAATATGTCTTTAAAATTGCCATTTAACAACAATAATAAGACAAAACAAAGCTAAGATGTCAAATAGGTTGCACATACTTATTCACATGACAGCAAATAAAAACAAACAAAAACAAATTACTTGTTACAGCAGCAGAGAACTAACCAATCTTGTTTGTTTGATTGTTCGTTAGATTCCCAAAAGTGAACTGGATTACTTGGAAGGATGCAGGATTAGTCAGGGATGAACCATAGACTGTGGTTTTTTGTGTAGATCAGAATAATTCAGAGATCTTGATGAAAAAAAATCAAGTATGGTATCGATTCATATCGATGAATTTGTACAATGTCATGTAAGTAAAAATCTGGATCTAGTGGATTTAAATGTGGATTCATTTTCATTTTTTCAGCTGCTGTGGTAGCAAATAGGGTCAAAAACCTGTGACTATACCAATAATTGTAATGTTTTGATTTCACAGTACTGCTGGGCCTTGATGGGGTTAAGCTCTCTACTGAGTGTAATTCTAGTTAATAATGTGACACTTTAAACAGATGGCCTGGTTCAGTCCTTGGGGTCAGAATATGTGGAAGTGGCTTAATGCTGCTGCAATAAGAGCAGCTCACTGCTGTCACCCCTTACTGTGGGAGACCATTCCGACAAAGGCTCTGTATTACTGGAGCTGACATAATCTGCTGTGGGCATCAACAGTACAATAATGCACTGTGTACTCTTCCTATATCCACTGTGAGTCGCCTGGCTACAACATCGATCTGCTGCAGACGCAAACAGTGGGGGAGATGTAATTGAAGCACTGCTCCCTCGAGAATATTTTTTCCACACAAGGTATTATATATATCAGAAATGATCAAGATCTCGGCACAGTATAACACTGAGGGGAATGGTTTGTGGGTTTCAGATGAGATCCCCTTCAAGCTCTCATAAGAACATGGTGCACAAGTGCAGACAAACTGTATTAGTGCTGCAAACACATACAGAAAACCTCAACAGAGACACAGAGAGGCAGGCGCACACATACAGTTTGACTTATTCAGAGGAAGTTCACAAAAAAGCACACTGAACAAACGAATAACATGGAACCCACAAAGAACACGGACAAGCTCCTTGTCTTCTCCTCTTCCACCCTTGTGAAACCCTACTCCTGAGTCGTGCTTTGGAGTTTTTGTTTTTCGAGGGAAAGTGCTGATCGAGGTGTGGCTGATGGCTCCCGCTATAAATCATGTACCAGTTGACCCACAGTGCAGGGAGGGAAAAGTCAGCAGCAGCAGCACCATGAAAAATACATTAATGACACCCAGGGGATGAGAGTGTCCCGGGCACCTGCGGGGCTGGAGCAGGGTTCACTCTCTTTGATGGTGGTTGTCGTGGGTGTGAGTTAACCTGCGCAGGCCAACATGTCACGGTTCAAAGAGGGTGCTACTGTTTCTGCTTATTCAGCTGCCTCGAAACATATAAAATAAAAGTCAGTGCAGCAGAGTGTGACAAGTCTGAGATGTCTGCCTTCAGCAAAACTAAAAAAACAGAACTTCCCTACAATGCAACTCGATATTGTTTCTTTATTAAAGTGCAGACACTCTTGTACTTAGCAGTGTTTAGTAACAGGAATGAGCATGGTACAGACAGCTTCCATACAAATGTGTTGACGGTGATGATGATGATTATTATGATCTGTGTCCTTGCTGTCTGCCAATCAGCATTTCTCCTTGTGTGAAGTGAATGAGTTTGCAACTAAGAATAAACGCGAATTTGTTCATCAGTGAAATGGGGGGAGAAATCCATTGTGGCCTGTGAATGCAGAGTTAGAACCTTGAACCTTGGTCCATGATTTTAAAATGAAGCACATCTTGAGTTTGTAACTCAGGTTTAGCAGTAAAAAGTTTAGTTTTCATGTCCAATCTAGGATAATCGTGACCACATCATCAGGGTTTTCTTCGTATACTTTGGAAAGTTCCTCTACAGCCAAATCTTTATACAACACAAGCTGGGAGGATACTGTTCATGAATAGAGAACTGATCTTCAAGTGAAAAAATAGGTTTCATTTACAGTGAAAAACTTGTTGTTAATCTTTATGCTGAGTGACGTTTTTGTCATTTTGAATGCCTAATGTCATGCGATCTAGAAATCAACTGCTTTTATAGGAAGTGCTAACGTTTGAATTTGCAAACTGCACATTTCCGTTTATAACAACAAAAAGAAGAAGTATCACAATTAGGAATTTACATATTTCTCATATCAGAATTTAACTGTGAGATACGGTGAGTAAGGTAATAAGAAACGAGGAAATGACTGCTGGGAGCAGATTGAAAACATTGAATTTCTTGTTTTCAAATCAATGGACTTTCATTGCAGGTGCTTCACTGATTTCCCAAGCTGCTTACAGCACATACACATACAGCACCATCATTTCTGTAGGGAACTTTTTATTTTTTAAGTTAAAAACTAACAGCCACAAAATACAATACAAATTCAAAGCATTTTCCCTTGAATGTAGAGGATTTGAGATTTAACCTCATTTGCAGCATGAAATGCAAATGGTCTGTTCTGTGCAGACAAACTTTCAAGTGGAAGAACCCAACTGGGAAATCAAACGAACCTATTAGAAGAAAACGTGTAATATCACAGTCCATCCACAGCCTCACCACATTTACAAACACAGGTCCGAATGAATGATGGGAGTTGAATGCAGCAGAAGTCATTGTCATTGCCTGTGTATCTCCGTCTCTGTCCACGGGGGAGGATTTGAATGGTAATGGAGTTTAAATGACTCCAGTGCACAAACCATGATTTAATTCTTTTCACTCATGGACTCAGATATGTACGGTATTACTCCCTTTAGTAAAAGACAGTGAAACATTAATGAGCAGAAACACAGAGGACGACACAGGGGCACAGACCAACACATCGGCCATATCCCCGGTGTGATCTTTTGGGGAACAAGGTTTTTTTTACAGAAACAGCAAATTGCTTCCTTTTGAGAGCATTACTTTGGCAGTAATATAACATGTACTACTCCAGCCAAGTTTTAAAAGTAACTAATGATACTCGCACAGTTCATGTGCACAGTTCAATAGTTGATTTAACAGTTGGGGACAATCCTTTGTGCCAGAGGCAGCTCCAACAGCAAAGATTTAATCCATATTCAGATATTTTACAGTTCAACCAGGCAGGTGGGTCATTAAGGATCATATATGACATATATCAAGTTGTGTGTAATAAGGTTATCAATGTGATGAGAACAACTAACAGTACATTATTGTGTAACCAAATAATGGACAAAATTGGCAAAAGAGTTGTAATAGACGTAGTTAATAACCACTCTGTTGATGCCTACAGCAGACAATTCCATCACGGGTACAGCTCGATATGAACTTTATGCATATAGCATGTGCACCTACTGTCTAGACATGTCTAGTCGGTCCTGCAGACATGTCTAGTCGGTCCTGCAGTCAAACTGTCCTCGACTTGAACCCAGTTGGGACCTTAGCTGCACTCTGTTTGCTCTGTTTTAGGAACCCAGCTGGTATCTGTCTAGTTTCAGTTTGACACCTATCAGACACCACAGGAGCGTAGGCTGTCTGTTCTAATCAAACCCAGTCTGGACCACTGTTTCTTCATCACATGCCTCTCAAGCCTGTGGTGGCTGCTTGTGCTGTGATCCTTTCTCGAGGAAGCTTTGCAATAAAAACACAACTTGTCTCAGAACCTTGTGTATTTCCAGATTTCCATGACGGAGTCAACTCAAATTCCCCTTATTGACTTTGTCTGAGCTTTCAACCACACCTCATGGACTTCATCAGTGAATGGCACATTTTGAACAAGTCCAGCAATCGTCTAACTGCTCCATTGGCTGTTGAAGACCATAAGATGCAGTTTAGAGCTCAGTCAAATCTGGTCAGTGGACTTTGAACTGAGATTATTCTGCTGCACGTACACAAGCAGAGGAAGGTGTTTTGTTTGGATTGATCTGGTGGAATAAGTCTGCAAGCTTTCAAACAGCAGTACAGTCAGTGTAATTACTAGTAATATAACCAACCTGACATGATTAGTCTACATTAGCTTTTCGACCGAGGAATGCATTTAGTCTGAGGACTACTGCAACAGTGGAGAGAGGCCACGAGCAGAGTTAACATCATGCATTTACTCACTTAATGTTTTCACTACAGCACTGTCAAGTACAGTTAAAGTAAAGATCACATGTTGCTCTTCTATCTGCACTGTAAAAAATAACAAAGAATTGTTTTTGCTTGGTTGTAATTGCTTGATGTACAGTGTCCTTCAAATGTCATGGAACAGAATTATCACATCAAACACAATATTTTATAGCTGCGGTCTTAAGCAGGACTCCCATAATCCCTCTCTCTAGTGTGTAAATGTGTGCCAGAGGTGCAGTTTCAAAAAGAGACGATAACAGCAGAGTGACAGTTTCTCTCCGTAGGAAACTGAGAATACAGAAAAATAAATGCTTAATGAACCTAATTTATTATTTATTTTTAAACCAAGTGTATTGATTAGGTTCATCTGTTAAAGCCGCAAATGCATGATGGGACAGATCATCATGTGGACCTGCCTCACCTCCATCTATCTCACCTCTGCCCAGGTGCTCTGAGTTCAGTTCATTTTCTCACTTCATCCCATCGTCTCGCTGATTGTTTCACACTCTCTGTCACACTCTCTAACTTATTTTCCCCCCTTTGTTCTGCCCACATTCCCTCAGCGCTGGCAAACAACAGCTCCCGCAACAAAGTGTGGCGACAGGAGCTCGTGGCATACTGCCTGACCTCCGAGCCCTGCGCTCCCTCCCTCGGGCACCCTACTGTACTTTTCCAAGCAGCAGCAGCAGCAGAGAGATCCATGTCTAAACAGTGGAAAGTATAACAGGCAGTTTATGGCAACCTCATTACGTAAATTCTCTTGACTCCTGTGATCTCTGACCACAACTGAAAATGACACAAACAAACACATGTCAATGTCGTGCAGTGGAACCTTGCTTACATCTAACATCAGGTTGTGTTCAGACTGAGAGAGGGGAACTTAGAGGTGAGACAGTGTGGGAGAAGTAATGGTACTGATGCAGGTCAAAATGTACTTTCTCTAAGGAGGATTATAAGTATCTGAGATCACAAAAAGAGCCCCAACAAGGGAACCTTTGCTCCAACAACTCACCTATGACACAAAAAGGCTTTCTGGCGAAGCGCAGTCGTCCCTGCCAGCCTCTGTAGCGACAGCAGCATCCTGCCGACCAGATCCGGACTATGTACTCCAACCCAAACACCACAATCATCACAAACTCCTGTTCACACAGACAAAAACAACAGGTAACTAGCTTTCAGGCTTTAAGGATTAGTCAGTGTATACATCATTACATGTTATCATTAATGTGTTAGTCATTTAACTTGTCACCAGGTTGACAAAGTTCTGTTCCCTGAACACAGACACACACACACACACACACACACACACACACACACACACA